GTGATCAGGAACGTATTAATTTCCATACTTCCCTCCACTATCCCTCTTTCTTTTACAAATTTTGCGGCCAAACTTCCTTTAAACATTAGAAATTGTTATGGAAACGTGAAAACCTTTACTGACGGAATAGTATGCCCTGCGAGTGGGCTAGCCAAGTTTTCCGCGGATCTGATTACTGCCAGCCTGTCGCGCGCGGCGTCTGCATAATTGACAGTCACAAGTAATGGGATACATCCCGTTTCGATCACTATGCCAGGCCAGTTTACCAGGGCCCGGGCTAGACCGGGGATGTCGGCTAGTTCAGAATATATGTGTATTGTTTTTCAAAAGGCCGACGTAAGCTAGGTGAATTTCCTTGTTAGTTCTAATGACACACGTATAACATTTTCTACAACAGTGAGTACTCACAAAACGCTAGATGATCTTATATATAAAGCTGAGTGTCTGTTTGTATGTATGTCTGTATGTCTGTATGTACGTATGTTCCGAATAGAAAATTCCATTTCTGAACCGATCGGGACCAAACTTAGCACACATACACTTCGGGCCCCGGCGGGTGTCATAGGCTACTTTTCGTCATTGATCGATAACGAAAAGTGGACTGTGACACCCGCCGGGGCCCGAAGTGTATGTGTGCCAAGTTTGATCCCGATCGGTTAAGAAATGGAATTTTCTATTCGGAAACGGCGGAGCCGGGTAAGCTAGTTATACATATAAATGCGTGCGGTCATTTGTTCTTGTTACGATGTTAAAGCATTTAGCACTTTGGAAGTAATCATAGTACAGTTTAGAATTTTCCTCGGTTTTTCTGTAGAGCGACGACTTTTACAGGGACACTAATCACGGAAAAATTGCCAGGAGCACGTATCGGATGGCATCGCACCACATCATCCGCAAAGCCAGACCAAGCGCGCCTCGGTAGTAGAAGTCCTTCACTCCTTCTCTCACTTGCTAAGAAACCAAGGCGAATACTATCCAATGTCTTCATAATGTTGAAAACTCGGGCAACCAGCGCTCATGGATGGAATGTGGGTTGGTCCCTGACGATTGCGGTCGCTTTGTGAAGCGGATGCGAACGAGAGTCCAAGCGCCTTTTATGACTGAGCTCGTACGCCAGCGCACGGCTGCTTTATGCGCAGCCGCCCTCCTTTAAGACTAGCTGTAACAATCCATAAGTACAGTACTGAATATCATAATAAATTCACTCCGGAAACCACCGTAATTTGGGCTCTTGTTGATGAAAATGTCTAAAACTTTGCTGTATAGTGCGCATGTTAGCCGACCGTAACTCAAAACTGATTCCGGTCCCTCTGACTTTGAACGGAGAAAAGTATAAAAACCAGCAGAAAAAAAAAGAGATTCGGGCTTTGGCGTAAAAATTCCGGAAAATAAAAACTGTATACTTGGACTTGAAATGCTTGCGGGGGAATTCGAGCGACGGTATTCCAGTATCTGCGGCCCTTAGAAATCATCTAGACCAGAATTTCAGAGCCTTGAATTTTGCTAATTCGATCTTGGGGATCACGAATATTTGGCGGAACAACAATGGGTATAGGTAGAGAGTCAAAATCAGTTTTGGCTGAAATTTGGTCTAGATGATTCTGTTGTGCTGATTACGAATGACATACTCTTTCTGCATTTTGGGACATTCTCATGGAATTACGCGAGTATACGGTGTGGAGTGAAATCAAGAATTTGCTGTAAACTTCGTCTAGAGAGTTACCTAGCTCGCTGAGCATGAATATCGTATGATTACTCAAAATAGCGTCTAAACCTATTGCGGTGGGTGCACGGTAGATAGGCCGTAGCTCCAAATTTGCTCAAAACTTTGGCTAAAAGGGTTTTTAAGCATGCTGATTACGAATCTTATACTCGCTCGCCACATTGACGCGTCATCGTAAAGTTACGGTAATTTGCAGCGTATGAACTTTTCTTTTTTCGAGTCATTTGGGGCCGCATGCATCAAAATCCCCGCCGGGAAGGGGATCGCAGCTTAAAAGAAGAACTTCACATCCTGAGGCCCAGATTTCTGGATTTTATGCCGTCTACCTATCCGTAAGTATTTGCTATCCTTCGCTACAAACATATTGAACAGGACAAGCCGCGTTTTCTAGTTTTTTATATGATCCCCTGATGATCCCCGGCGGCCAACCCTCCATTATTCAAAATCATTTTTCCTTCTTCAAAATTAATGAAAGAATGCCAAAGTAGTACTGATTAATTGACCCAACCTAAGTATGTTGCTCATAGGAACGAATGAGTTACTGAAATATCGAAATTTTCGATGAATCCCAACTTTCGACTTGTGGTTCATCGCAAATTTCATAGCTTTCATTTGTTCTTATCAGAAACTTGTTTAGCATTGTTAAGTTAAATTATCAGTACAACTCTGGCACTTTTCCAATGACTTTGAAGAGAGAAAAATGACTATAGGAAAAAACGGTCAGCCGCTCGGGATCACCAAAGGATCGTACAAAAAGCTAAAAAATGCGGCTTGTACAGCTTCTCTCTCTTGTTCAATATGTTCATGGAAGGATGGTAGGAATATCTGCAGACAGCTACACAGCGTGAAATTCATACGTCTGGAGCTACACGATGTGAGGCTTTCTTTTGAGCTGCGATCTCTCCCTGGCGAAAATGTTAGTGCATGCGGCCCTTAGATTACAAAGATTCACCTAGAGGCTGTATGTGCGAAAAGGACATTTCAGGCAGTCTATGATTTCAACCCCTTACCACAGCTACCATAACTTCAAGAAATGGTCCCAAAAAGCAAGGAGAATATAACGCCTGTGATCAGCATGTGGAATAGCCCTTCTGGACCGAATTGCAACCAAACTTGAGATTTTGTCCCCCTATCGCAAATTTACCGTAACTGTAAGAAAGGGCCCTACAATGCAGAAAGTATGATACCTGTGACCAGCATGCCGAATAAAACTCTTAGGCCAATTTCAGCAGAATCCGTGATTAGCGCTCTATCATATACTATACCCACCGTAGCCCACAGAAAGTGGCGCTACCGTGCAAATTCAATATGATATTCGGCATCGGCGTCCAGCGACCCTCAAGACCGAGTCTGAGCAGGATCCACGAATTTCTATGGCAGCATGGCCGTTAGCGTTAAAGGCAGCGTCCAGGCAAATCTGACCCTATGGGGATTTTACGTGGAAAGTACTTTTAGGGCCCTAACTAAGCCACTGCGTAACCGGCAGCTCAGGTAGTGCCCTAACGGCTGAGATATTCCCCTCGAAACTGGACCCCGCGACCGCGTTTCGCATGGATTCATGGCGCAAAGCGTGGATCCTGGCGCGAAACGGCCATGAATCCATGCGAATACGTTCGCGGGGGCCAGTTTCGAGGGGAATATCTCAGCCATTAGAGCACTACATGAGCTACCGCTTGGGCAGTGCCTTAGTTAGGGCCCCAAAAGTACTTTCCACGTAAAAGTCCCATAGGTCCAGATCTGCCTGGACGCTGCCTTTAAGGTCGGGCTTTAATATGGAGTACAAGGAAGCTTTGGTATGGCCAGTACACCCTTGGGGAAAGTATTTTGTTATGGAAAAGTGATAGAGGAAATAGCTGTGGGAACCTGCTTTCAATGCTGAGGATGGGAGAAGAAAGCAAAAGGAGAGGAGGGAGATTTTCGAAAAGATACGGGTTTTGACAATGCAAAATGTTAGACAGTGCAGCCGCCATGGCACGAGAGAAAAAATTCGAGAAAGAGGCTCTAAGGCTTCGGCATGGAAAAGTTGAGGGAAACGCTGTGAGCAATCCTGATCGGAAATATTTAAAAGGGAAGGAGGAAATTTTGAAGGAAATATTGTGAGGAAATTTTGGAGACGGCTTAACTCTCTGAGCAATGAAAAAAAGAGTGGATAACTCGACTGTAGAGTTTTGAAGAACTTGGTGCATTTTGGCTAAAAAAATCGAAAAGAACTGTTTTCTGAGGTTAGCATAAGGAGATAATTAGGCGCCCCAAATGCCTTGACGGAAAAAGCCGCTAATGCGTTATGAAAGTTTCACACCACTTTACACAACACATTAGCTAGGAAAAGCCACAGAAAGGAGAACCACGAAAAGGACGCTTCACGAGGAAAGGTGAAGCGCTACTTCGGTTATCCAATGCAGAGGGCAAGTCTAGAGAAAAAGTACGAGGTGTAGGGTATGCATGCCTATGCGAGGATAAGCTTCACTGAGAGTGACATCTTTTTTAACTACCAGCGACAATTCCTGTTAAATCTGAGCGCTCTTCTGCAAGCAGTCACACTGCTGTTATTTGAACTATATGCGCACCATGCCTTTTCAGCAGAAATTTCTAATCGAAGCATCATCAGACGAAGTTTATTAGCTTTTACGGCATCGAAAAGTGTCATACGAGCTTTTGGTATTCAATATTTCTCACACCTGATAGCCATTAAACCGCTAGTTAAACCTAGTAGAATTGAACCACTGTAAGCGAAAAATGGGATAGACGAGATTTTAGCTGGCTCCTGATTCCATACTTGGCGCTAATTTGAAGTGAGTGCAAAGAAGGACGTAGCTAGCGTCGCCCCCCCCCCCTCCCGAATGGAAATCCGAGGTATGCCGCCGCAGACTGTAGATCTATTTCGCGGTGTATTTTTCGAAGAAAGCCACTTTATATCATGAGGAGACGAGATTACGCGAGCGATGAGAGTGAAATAAGGGCCGGGTATACTTCGCGCGATTTCAGTCGCGACGCGATTTACAATATTCCAACTGTACATAAGTCACCGTAAGCACATTTTGAATGCACAGAAGATATGACATTATATCAATCCACGTAAGTTATACACACTATGCATGTGCAGTTTGCTAATGTTGAAACTGAAGATTTCAGGCGATTTGCCATCGCGTAGCGACTGGAATCGCGTGAAGTATGCCCGGCCCCACAGAAAAAAGCATATTGCTCCTCTTATCAAACAAATCAAAAAATGAAACGTCAAATCAAGAAACAAGCAAAAAAAAACCCAGAAAAAACTTACAAGTCCATTGTACCGAGCGAAGATTGGCTTCTGCACAAAGCGTGAGCATCCGTTCTCTCCACTCCAACCTTCATATATGTTACTGTACGATGTGCTTGGTCCAACGTGTCCACACACATCATCATCTCTGGGTGGACTCTGCGGAGGACTGCATGCTCCATCAGTAGCAATCGTCCGCTCAGTTGAGCTGGATGGCACAGCGGTTGGTTGTGCAGGATCATCCTGATTGCTACTAGGTGGAGATGTTCCACAGGCCTGTTGTGTTGGCTCAACCAGAAAATCCCATATAAGAATGGTGTCATCGTGAGAACTGCTCACGATTTGGAAGTCATCGAATTGCAACCGAAATACACGACCAGTATGCTGCTGCAAAGAGATCGATGGAATTCATTCTCATGCAAAGTGATACTTACCACCAAAGTGCTAAGACAAAGCGAACTAGGAGACGAACGAGGATCAAGAGCAGCCTCTAAGTCCCAGACACGAATCTTCCTGAAGCCCAACACATACGAGCAAAACAAGCAGCGAAGTAATAACAACCATACCCATCGTAAGCTCCCGAAACAATCCGTTTATCATCAAAACGAATGCATCGCACAAGCTCTTCGTGTCCCTCGAGGACGCGCAGACACACACCAGAATGGATATCCCACAGCCTTCATAAAAGCTATCGAACATGCAGATGCAACTTTGGAACTCTGATCACCTGATAGAATTATCGCTGGATCCGGATACAACAAGACGTCCACGATACTGCAAGCATGCAATACCCCGTTTATGACCTGATAAAGTGCGGACGAACTCCAAACTGTCAGCAGACCAGACCTGTAATGTGACGTATTACACGCCTGCACCACCGATCACCTAATCTTCATCGCGAAAAATTCGCGTCGATCGTACCTCTTGATCATTGAGCGACTAGTGGGATAAGGACGATCATACAAGGTGGAGCGCCCTCCGTTGACCCTACGAACCAACCACCTTGTACTATCGTCCTCACCCCACTAGTCGCTCGGCCGGTCCCGGCTGAACGCGGCATTCTAAGCCATCAATTCAAGCCCAAGAGTATTTTTTCCCTTCTTCTTGTTGCTAAACGCTACTTGTGATTTAACAATGCAGAACGGTCAGAATCAATGGTTTTACTGTCGCTGAGTGATGTTTCGCACTTTTATGCTCGTTTGTTCGACTCTGAGTTCAAGTAAGCCTGGAGATGCAGTGAAGAATAGAAATTTCTGCTTGTACATTCTCTTTCAACGATTAACATGTACTGAACTGTTGCTTTAGTAAACTTAAGCCATCGAAAACCTATGAGTCGTACCTCTAAGATTACTTTGAAACGGGATTGAGGAATCGCAGAAAAGGATTGTATAAACACGCGCAGACAAAAGCAACCGTAAACTCTAAACACGAACATTGTTTGTGACATAAGAGATAGCGCAAGAAAAATGGGTGCTGGGCTAAGCTTACCTCTACTCAAAGTTGAAGGGATGTAAAGCATCGCTTAACCACATCAAAGTCGTCAGTTTCGCCCGCTTAAATTGTTAAAACACAAGAAGTAACATCTAACAACAAGAAAATCAGAAAAAAACATGTGTAGATTTGAAATGAGGTGCTGCCCTTCATAGCTGTCTGAGCACGCACCCCGCACGAACTGCTACGCGTGCGCCCGTACTGCTCGTAATGTGCAGGCTTGAGATTCCCTCCAGTAACGGTTCTAGGTATACGAATTGGTGGGAAGTGTCTGCCAAGCGTTTCTGCTCAGCCTTCATTCTCGCTTCATTTGGCAGAATGAATCGTCAAGCAAGTGAGTGCCGAATCGTACGGAAACCAAATTGCGTCCTTCGTAAACTTGATGAAGAAAGAGTGAAAGAGGGTTAAGTGAGGAGAGCGTGTTTGTCTTTGTCAGGCATGATTTCACAAAAAATCTATTTTTTAAAACCTTGCTGTGATATCGCGCACTAAGCCAAGCCTTTGCCTATAATACTGTCAAGTACGGAGATTGAGAAGTCAGTTCAAAAAGAAATTTTTGATTGTTCAAAAAAAGTGTCTGCGAGGTAGCCTATTGAAAAAATGGGATTTTGGCCCCCCTAAACGCGTTTGAAAATCAGAACGTCTTCTAACTCAGTTTCAGAAGCATTTTCACAAATCAATCATAATAGTCACTCTTCTAAAAATCTCATGATTAGAGAATTTATTATCTGGGAAGTTTTGCATGCCTGGTGTCTCACAATAGAAATTGCACTTATTATAGTTGCTCGTGCGCAGGTATATTTGTTCCATGAGAGAACAAATATCTTGCAAATGCAACTAGGACTGTGTGATAGTACAAGTGTACTCTACAACCTCAGCGTGGAATGGTTCAGAGAGTGTTTGATTCGTTCAGCTACAAAGCAAAATATGAAGGTATAGAAATCCCATTTGCTTTAATTTTTTTTTCTTGGAAAACCACTACTCATACACTTTTGAATTCCGCATTGTTGAATAGAGGTCTTTTCGAATTCTGAGGAATGTCGCTAACGCGTTCGATAAGAGCATTCTCTGATATAGATTTGAACTCATTGTCTCAAGATTTCTTCGTGGCAATGGTGCAAAACTGGCGCCGCTTATTTTGGCGCACCAGTGAGTGTGAATGATAGTGGGAGACCGTAGAATTACGCTTCTGACTAGTGTACTTCTTTCGTCATAAGCGCGAGTAAAATAACGCTGCTAAATAAAGATTGACGACTGGAAAAAAAACATGACTAGTACCTTTATCGTTCGATCTCCTGAAGCACTGACTATGTAACGATCATCGAAGTCGACAACGTTCACAGCCGCCCGATGTCCGACCAAAACCCGTCGAAGATTGATTTCGCGAGGAGACACCATGTCCCAAACAGCAATCGAACGATCTTTGGAACTTGAAAAAATTTAGGAGCCAAATAAATTCCCATTTTGTCACATACTTACCAAGTGACCATGATCCCGTCATTGAAACGCAAGTGCAGAACTGCTTCACAATGATGGATCAACGTATTCAAACATTCTCCTGTGGCTACATCCCAAACGCGGACCGTTGCATCAGATGAACCTGTGAATATCCTATACAGATCAAATGACCAGTGCAAGCACTTACCCGATATTATAACTCTTTCATCATATTGAAGGCACAACACAGAACCCGTATGCCCTGATAGTACCCGTTCGCAACTCAGATCTTGGCGATTCCACACCTGGAAACGTCTCAAATGTTGAAGTGCCAATTATCTTATATATAAAGCTGAATGTCTGTTTGTATTTATGTATGTCTGTCTGTCTGTATGTATGTCTGTCTGTCTGTACGTATGTTCCGAATAGAAAATTCATTTCTGAACCGATCCGGACCAAACTTGGCACACATACACTTCGGGCCCCGGCGCGTGTCATAGGCTACTTTTCGTCATCGATCGATATCGATTTTATCGATTTTTTGCAAAATTTGAGCTACGGGGCTGGGAGTTGGCACAGGGGGGTAAGTGAGCATGGGGATTCCGAATACAATATTAGTTTTTAAAATCGTGCATTACTTTTATCGATTTTGTCGATTTTTTTGCAAAGTTTGAGCTACGGGGCTGGGATTTGGCACAGGGGGGTAATCGAGCATGCTGATCATCCCCGTGGGGGTGATCAGCATGCTCGATTACACCCCTCTGCCAAATTCCAGCCCCTAGCTCAAATTTTGCAAAAAATCGATAAAATCGATAAAAGTAACGCACGGTTTCGAAAACTAATATTGTATTCGTAATCAGCATGCTCGATTACACCCCTCTGCCAACTCCCAGCCCCGTAGCTCAAATTTTGCAAAAAATCGATAAAATCGACATCGATCGATAACGAAAAGTGGACTGTGACACCCGCCGGGGCCCGAAGGGTATGTGTGCCAAGTTTGGTCCGGATCGGTTAAGAAATGGAATTTTCTATTCGGAACATACGGCGGAGCCGGGTAAGCCAGCTAGTGCTATATAAGAATCAAGCAGTTAACTAGCGAGTTCCACTTCAATTCAGTGCTATCAAAAAGAATCTCCGCTACGTTACTTTATGAAGTAACCATCAACTTAAAGTCTAGCATTGCAGCCAAAAAGCACAATAATCAAGCTCAGTACAAAAAAAACATGCAGATGCGCACACAGAGTCATCTCTTGAACCCCACCAAAAGCTTATAGATAATTCTCCCGAAAAAAATGCATTACGTGTATAAATCGAAACGACCGATTGAATGGCTGAAGCGCGCGAAACATAAACATTATTCTCTTTGAGATAAATTTCAATAACGCTCGTCCTATCTGACTGATGAGATATGCTAGAGATAATCAAAACACTTTGCGCCGCCTGAAAGCACCGCGCAGGTCATGTGGAAATACTCGGATAAGGGTACAAAACAAGTATGAATATGGAACCAGGAAGCGTATTATAAGACAAACTACCTTGATAGTGTTATCACGTAAACCGGAAACAATCTTTCCATCATCGTATTGTAAGCAATACACACCTTAAATAACATACAACAAGTAGTAAGGAAGATAGAACTCTACAACACATACCTTTACTGTTTTCCGATCGGCAGTTAATACTACTTAATTTGTAAACACCATTGCGCCAATTGGATTCGATTTTTGCAATGTCGCTAACAACTTTTGGGAACAGTTCTCTGAATTTCCAATAGCTAGGAGAAGGCGTATAGAAACAGAAGATCGTCTACCTGTAAAATTTATGCTGCAGCATGATCATCTCAGCAGAACCTCGCATCATTTCGTAAGGTACTCGATAGTTATCACAGATTTCGTGCGCCGCGCAATCTCTACTAACCAAAATAAACTTTCGCCTAAACAAACTCAGTATCATAATATGTGCTCAAAATCATAGATTAACTAACTCACCACTTCTTCTTTTCACTCAGCCCGCGCCACATATTATCCGTCCGCACATTACGTTCTATGACTTTCCTCCAAAGCTGGCCTTTAGCCAGCACAGCCCGCCACTTTGTGCTAACTGCTTCACAAGCAGCTAAAGTATGGGCATCCAGATTCAAAAGAATCATTTCTGCGAGGTGCTCTGGAACAGCATGTCGTAAAGAAAAGACGCCTGATGACAACACCGTTCAAGATCATGCACGACTACCATTTACATTTAAAAAAACCTGTTCAACATCGAGCCAGATCGCTTGCGCATGTGAGATATTTTCTATAGTGTAACAAGATTAGGAAATGTAGCTTCAGCGCAATGAGCTGCCTGAACGGTCGGCCGCCTCAACGTGGCGTAAGGGTGACATTGGGTGCCGAACTGCGATGCACAGTCGAGTGTATACTCTGGTAGGGCCTCCCAAGCTATGGAGCTCTATTTCGCTTTCGACCGGATGCCTAGCTAAGACGTTAGATGAACACATGGAGAACGATTTGAGGGGAGAACTTAACAGAAAAAGAAGAGCAGCCTGGGCCGCCTTCGGGCCTCTGTAGGAAGCCACCGCCAACTGACGGACCCGGAGCTTCGTGTCCATCTGTTTGACTCAACCGTTCTCCCGCCGCTCTGATTCGCAGATGACGACACTACAGCCACGTCGAAAGATCTAAGGACCACGCACAGAGCGCAGTCTTCTGTAGATGACCCGACAGAATCAACATCTTGTTGAAGTAATACAAATATGAGAAAAATGTCCTTCTACGTGCTCTTTGGAATACCTGCGAAAGAGAAGCATCGATGGGCTGGCTGATCACTTATGAGAAGAACTGACGACAGCTGGACACTAAGACATCGGAGTGGATTCCTCGCGAAGCGAAACGTCCGAGGAAGACCTCCATCGAGATGGGCAGACGTGTTCGTGAAACGGATGGACCAGCTGAAAAAATCAGCTGGATACGATTTTCGCCCCTGGAGCTCGTGGATGCAGTCGCCGGCGACAACCAAGAAGATCATGGATGTCCGAAGCAAGGACAGGGATCATTAGAAGCTTCTGTACTAGGGTCCGCAATCACGTGAGGACGGTCATTTAACAAGGGAAGGATACTTGATCGCAGTGACGATTGGGTAAGCGGTGTATACCGCGTATACCGTCCCCAGACGGTGATCTCTAAACCGCATTCCATATCTGATATGACGTCATTCCGGAGGAGTTATAAAGGATTTTTGATGCAGTGGATAGTGGCTTGGACTGCGGAGCTGGACGTCGTGGGTTCGATTCCTCTGGGCTGCCACCCTTTTGCTTCTTTGTAATTTTTAGCAGGCAAGTTGCAAAACCTGTCGACATCCAAAAAAGTTGATTTTCACATTGTGAAGCAATTTCATTTACATTTATTGGCACTGAACCACCGTCTAACCTAAAAACACTCGAGTAAGTAAGAGATGACCAGTTGTGGACAGACACTGCAGTTGATTAGCATATTGTGCATCAAAATCGATAAAGACGCCATTTTGACAGGTTAGCTGCTCCTCTCTATGTTGAGCATGAACTCGGAATTTTTCAAATGTAATTTAGTAAAGTGATTAATGAAAAAGGCTTAGAACGAACGTTTTTATGTTAGATGTGTGGTTTCAGTGCCAATAAATGTAAATTTATTGCTTCATATTGTGAAAATCAACTATTTTGATGTCGACAGGTTTTGCAACTTGCCTGCTAAAATTTACAAAAATGCAAAACGGGTGGCATCTTAGGGGAATCGAACCCACGATCCAGCTCCGCAGTCCAAGCCACTACCCACTGCACAAAAAAATTCTTTGTAATTCTTCCAGAATGACGTCATAGCAGATATGGAATGCGTTTTAGAGATCACCATCTGGGAATGATATACGCGGTATACACCGCTTACTCAATCGTCACTGCGATCAAGTATCCTTCCCTTTAAGTATCCGAATATCTGTAGTCTCATGTAGCGACGCTAATTACGCTGCGATAATCCTCGACTGAAGTAATGTTGCTCATTCCGGTCATTTGAAAAACACAGCAAAATTTAATTATCTAAAGCATACTATAATTTTCGAATACTTTGCGTATGATGGTTATCCGGAAACAAAATCAATAATTGAAATTAAGTGTAAGAAAACAAACAATAAGTTATAACTGCGTAGACAAACGGATTTAATAGAAAAACTCGAACATATCGATTGCATTCCTTGGCTTCCCACAATCGAAAACAGAAAAAATTTTACTCTGGTGTCCGGTTCGATTACTCGAACGTTTGTTCCGCTCCAGATAAAGGGGGGCACGCGTTATGGAGCAGAGCTACGCCGCATTCCCCTGCGGTATATCCTGAGGGCCATTTGCGTTGCGTCGTCTTTAATTGCAGCTGCGGGAGTAGGCTGCTCATGCCAGCGGATTGAGCCATTCCCTACTACTACGATCTAATATGTTCAAATTGTATAAATGCAATAAAGAAAACAAAGAAGGCTGCAATTTGAAAAATTAAAAGAAATATAGATGGATCTCAGGGATGTTTGAAAGGCTGACTGATATATCCAATGCGCTGGATTTGAGTTAAAAGTGTTCAAGAAGTGGAACACGACAATTAGTAGAGAAAATGTAGAGGTTTTCCGCCAATAACTTTCCAAGAGAAATCCATCTTTTACTTTCTCTTGGCTTGCTTGCAGACGCTTCTTCCTCATATTCTAAATTTAATTCGCCCTTGAAATGCGTTTATCATCCGCATTTTGATCTCTTTATCTATGGAAAATATGGGGAATGGCTTCAGTCCGCTGGGTAGCGCTAGCTCCTTTGCGACTGCGATCAGGAGCGATGCAGCGCAAAGGGCCCTCAGGATATACCATAGGCAAATGCGGCATAGCTTTGCTCCATAACGCGGCGCCGCCCCAGATAAAGGCCACGAAAACCAGGTTATGAATATTCGAACAATTTCTTTTGTTGATGTTTCCGCGAGTTTGCCTCCTACCCATCAGGAACTCTCTAACGTGATCTCCATCGCTACAGAGTGATGTGCACAGACTACACTACAGGAGATGCTGGCATACAACTGCCCCATAACGCCTCCTCCCCCCCCCCCCCCCCCACCCCTCCAACAAACTTGATCATGTGTGAAAATTTGAGCAAATTTGTAATCCAAGCATGCCATTACTGGCTCTGGCTTCGGATCAATCTTGAAGCTAATTTGCGACTAAATAACAAAATCATTTCGAACAATGGAGCCTCCTTGGGCTCAAACTGGCTAAATCCTGTAATTCCATAGCAGACAAGTAACTTTTATACAAATTAGACATTATTCACTGTTATGACGACATAACAGATAATAATTGTGCAGACAATTACAGAAAAAGGGAAGCTTGAAGGAAGACTTACGTGGCAGCAATGCGATAAAATCCCGCTGCAGCATTGGCTGAATTAACTTATGTGTGAAGAACAGCTGATTATGGGACATACGATTGAGAATGCGTTCAATGAAATCCAACTGTTCATGTTCATTCCAGTTCGAGCTAAACTTCTAAAAATACCAGATTGACCCACACTAGCAAGGCTTCCCGAAGACGAACTTTGAGTAAATCCAAAAAACTTCACTAAAAACTCAGAGCCTTCCCAATGAACACGAAAATCACTGCTCGCTTACTTCGAGAGTTGCCTCATATTCGCACAGATACTGATCGCCCAGATTATCCTTCGGATTGTAATCATCGGTCAGCGGGGTGATTCGCATCTTCTTATGTTTTCGGAGCTAAACAGAATAGAGAAAGCAATGCACGGAGGGCAGAAGCGCCTACTAGATCTTGACCATCCTGAGTAGAAGGGTTCGTACATTCACTGCATTCCCTCACTGGATAGTAAGAAGAGGGCAGAGAGATGCCAGAAGTGTGATTGATGTAAGGAGAATCATCCATACGCGTTACCGAATCGAAATTCGACTGAAAGTGGGTAAAAATACTCTAGAAAAAAGCAAAGTAAACTAATTCAACAATACATCAAAATAAATAAATAGATACTAAAATGTAGCATTTCGTGCAAGTACGTCATGGAAATCAGATTCTATTCGCCACTTGCGAAGGAGCCTTACACCAACTATGTCACAGATTCAAGCACTGATCAAAAATCCAGTCAGACAAAAATGGAACTAGTAAAGCGAAGTAATTTAGCGCACAGCATATGACAATAGGTATTCGACGGTCAATATCGTTGGAGGGTAATCCCATCGGGACCTCTCTACATAACGGCGAGCTCAACTACATCGGGGACAAGGTCGAGCGTGTTAATGCGATCCTAGGCCCGCCCCCCTTTTACGACCCCTCCCCCCATGAGGTACCCACCCGTAAGACCCCCCTCCCCACATAACCGCCGCCCTCGCAACCAATAACAACCAAGAAAATTCAACACGGGAACTGTTCATTTCAGTCATTATAATTGACTATTTTATAATAAATCATTTTCTAGTGACAGATAATAAACTCTTCAGCCCTTTATGAATATTCGGCGTAACTCATTTATGTTTTAGTGGTACCGAAAGATATTGAAAATGATTTTGGAAATTGGAACGTTTTAGACTGTAATGACAGTCTAGTGTTTCGTCCTCGTAAGCGACACTATTTTTTTGCAGGAATGATATCTTTGAAGTGTAAAATATGTTTTCGACTAAAAAGGTTATTTTCAACCTTTTGCACATATTTTTCTATGATAAAAACCGTTTCAGCGCCATCCAGAACGATGTCAAAAACCTGCATGAGCACAATACTTTGAAAATTCGTAACTAAAGTCGGGAAAAGAGTAAGATGATGGTGCCCAGGCTATCTATGGAAAAAGCTTCAGTCACTGAGGAGCAGTGAGCTCGAAAAAATGTAGATGCGACTCTCGCAAATTTAGATGCGATCCTAAAAAGCAAAAACTGGAATTTTTAAGCTTAAAATCTTATATCTCAGCGGAGGTGTAAAGAAACAGCCTGAAATATTTATGACGGAAAGTAGGAGAATGACCTCGTATTGCATCAAGATTGCAGTCAACAAGCTTCAATAGCTCCGAAGAAATTCAGATGCGACCCAGATACGACCCCCCTCTCATTTTTTGCTCCCATACATAAAATCATTAAAAAAATCCACAGGCTATGATGTATAACCGGATTTGCACACTGTAGAAGAGCATCCTCAGAGTGCAAGTAAATTGTATGAGCTCTCGAAAGGCATTACAAAAGTCTTAAAAATTATAGATGGTCATCGCTGGTAGAGATGAGCGCTTTCGTCGAGTGTGTGAGATTTCAGTGATGCTTCGGAACCAGCATTTCTAGGCCAGTTGGTACATTTAACATTCTTGTCACACATACATGCCTAGTGTCTGAGCTTCTGAAAGTGCCTTTTGAATCTTCGGTCATACCTGTGGCCAGCAAGTTCGATCCCCGTCTGCGACACCTTTTTTGCAGGGAGAAAAATGCTGTTATTGAAGAGTAGAGGATGTTTGCGAATGAGAATCTTATTTTCTACATTCCACACTTTTTCTTATTCGGACCATCCTCTCTCACGAGTCGTCATGTAGCGGCTCCCCCCCCCCCCCCTCGGAGATCATGAGAACATAGAATTTGAGGCTTGGGATATACATGACGATAGAGGTATAGCGGGTGTTGATGAGTCGTCTGCGCTGCCTTTGGCTGCTCGTGGCTGCTGCGCTGGGTATGCTTTGGGTGCAAGAACGAAGTAGCTTTACCCATTACTACGCTTAGCGAGGACTTTTCCGGCATTGAGAAATATGATTAACATGATCATATGAGATCCAAAGAAGTCATGCCCTCATCAAAAAATTCTTTATAATAAGCATGAAATGGCAATCTAAATGTTGCTTATATTGAGAGAATTACAATCATTTGACAAATATCCAAGGAGTGTCGCAGTAGAACCTTGATGTGCGCTTGAGATAACAACTGAACTAACTAGATCATAGTTGCCGTTAACGTATTGAGGTGTACTGCTAGCACCTCTAGCTTCATCGTTACTCAGTTTGGTTTTACTTTTGCTTCAAAAGTTCTGTGAAATGTTTAGATTTTCTTTGTCTACTTTGTCAGTTCTTCATTGATTTTCTTACCGATGCAATTGCGTTTTGGTCTTGTAAATTTGATAGTTCAGCATCGCGACAAGTGCGCTAGAAATCTTTCAGAAGTTCAAAAACGTGTCAAAAAGGGCAGATCCGCGCAGAATCAGCGTTAGCAGCAAGAAACAGCGCAGCATCGCAAGCCATAGCGTGTCTGTTTCGCGTAGGCTGCAGCAGCTAAAAGAGCAGCAGCGTCGCCTGGCGTCATTCAATAAGCACAAAAGACGTTGCTGCTGGCAGCGTCTTGTCGTCAGTTATAGCGACCCATCGTCAGGTATATATGAAGCCTGAGTGTTGGCTTCCGCACCACATCCCAGGATAACTCTTACCGAACATTGACTCTCATAGTTACTGCGCCATGACCCTGCGAATTATTGTGCGTACACCCTATAACGTTTATGGCTAGCAAAAAGTGAGAAAAAACCAAAAAGCAAAAAAAGTAAGAAGATCTTCTTTCAATAGAATCGCAGGAATAAGTGCATCTTTTGTGTGTTTTCATTGACAATTATAGCAGTGTTCCTCAAACCCAAGCCCAGACTCTAGCACGCATGCAAAATTGAGTGGTTTGAGTGTGCATAAAAAGCAATCCTCAACTAACGAGATTTGCTCTTTGCAACGCCATAGCAAGAAATAAGCGTAGATCAAGTTACAATGCATCTAACGGCGACAGGCCTGCGCAGTGCAACACCACTACGCGTTGGGTGAGGGAACTTATGTTGGGAACCCGAGCCTAATTACCCTAATTTCACGCGTACAAGGCGCGGGGTGGTCCTAGCTTTCATCGAGCTGCTCAGCCGCCCCAACGTGTTTTAAGAAGCGATCCTTATGCCGCACGATTCGTCAGGCAAAACGGAGCACGGCGGGGTTCCTTTGGTTGCGAAGTCCTTTGCCGTGTTCGGGCTGGTCGATGAAAGCTAGGACCACCCCGCGCCTTGTACGCGTGAAATTAGGGTAGCTCGATTCGGGAAGTGACTGCAGGTTACAGTCATGCCGCTGTCTCCGATTACTCGCTAGGACATGGCGACAATCTAAGCCCCGCCCCCCTGAGAGCCTGTTTGGAAGCTAGCCAAGGAATGCTGAAAACCTCAATTGAATTTCAGGGCTGGCTCTAAGCAGAAAACCTTCAAAGTGATCGTACGAAAGTGAAATTAGGCTCAAACGAAAGAGAAGAACCGTGCCATCATCATGAAGTATCTACTGATTGAAACTGATTGAAAGCAACATTCTTTTAGTTCAAAACTTTATTTAAGTGTCAAATTACTGAGAAATTATTCAACAAATCCTGTATTTCAGAAAAAATTTATTTGAGTGCTGAATCCAGGCAAACGACTGAATATCATTCGAGAAATGACAATTCAAAAACTTCACTAATGATATTGCTGAGTCTGTCAACAACAGACAATTCTGATGTGCGAAGAACATCCTGCTAATATGCTGAAAGCAATAACCTCAACCTACGGCAAGGAAAGGTTGCAATAACAGTTTGAGGCGAAACTTTCCTTACAAATAACGTAAAGGGTGAAAACCATTTATCGTTACTACCGATATCTCAACTTCCCATGTCTTACGACGATTATTTTTATTCCCACATGCAGCATCTGCTCCAACAATTTTATTCATCGGCAGATATATCTTTATTTTCAGGCAATTCTGGTACTTTCAACTACTGAGTGGCATTTCTTGATGTGTTTTGGTCGAAATTCAGCACTCAAAAAAAACTATTATTTCTGAGAAGTTTTTGAACTGTCATTTCTTAATATTCTAGTCTTTTGCCTAGACTTCCACACACAAAGAAACTTTCATTTTTGAGAATTTTATAAGCTGTCGTTTCGCGATTGGTTTCCTAGTCTTTCGCCTAAATTTCAGCATTTAAATAACTATCAATCTTAAAAAGTTTTTGAACTGTCATTTCTCGAAGGATATTCTAGTCTTTTGCCCGGATTTAGCACTCAAATAAATTTTTTCTGAAAACTTGACGGTTTGTTGAATAATTTCTCAGTAATTTAACACTTGGATAAAGTTTTGAACTAAAAGAATGTTGCGTTCAATCAGTTTCAATCATAGATACTTTATGATGATGGCACGGTTCTTCTCTTTCGTTTGAGCCTAATTTCACCCTCGTACGATCCCTTTTAGGTTTTTGGCTTAGAGCCAGCCCTGAAATTCAATTGAGATTGTCAGCATTCCTTGGCTAGCTTCCAAACAGGCTCTTAGTGGGGCGGAGCTTAGATTGTCGTCATGTCCTAGTGAGTAATCGGAGACAGCGAGCGAGAGACCAAAACATCTAAGAATAAATTGTTTCATGTAAGTATCAAAAATAGACATTTTTTTATGTTACAATTCATGATGAAGAGGTTTAGTGGTGACGTGAAGAGGCTTAGAAACCTAAAAGCGTACTCCTGTTAGGGATGTGAAGCGATTTTTCGAACTTTAAAGGAGTTCATATATTTTTACTGAGAGTTTTGGATTAACATACAGGATTTCTCAGAAGTATATAAGCAACATTGATCGTTAATTTTCCTCCCACAACTTTTGCCGAACTTACATGGGAACCTTGTCGAGTCGAAGTGGCCTTTCCAGATGAGACCCATACTGCTTCAAAGAAAATTAAGCGGTGATTCCAAATCTGCCTTCCAAATCTGCCAAGCGCCTCAAGACGCCGAGTTATGTCCGTTCTTCGGAACGAAAAATGAATGCAGAATTTAGGTAAAATTGATTGTTACAGCAGTGTTGAGTATTAGCATCTTATATATAAAGCTGAATGTCTGTTTGTCTGTCTGTCTGTATGTCTGTCTGTCTGTGTGTACGTATGTTCCGAATAGAAAATTCCATTTCTGAACCGATCCGGACCAAACTTGGCACACATACACTACGGGCCCCGGCGGGTGTCATAGGCTACTTTTCGTCATCGATCGATATCGATTTTATCGATTTTTATCGATTTTTTTGCTGAGTTCACCTACGGGGCTGGGAGTTGGCACAGGGGGGTAATCGAGCATGGGGATTCCGAATACAATATTGGTTTTCAGGATTATCGATTACTTTTATCGATTTTATCGATTTTTTTGCAAAGTTTGAGCTACGGGGCTGGGAGTTGGCACAGGGGGGTAATCGAGCATGGGGATTCCGAATACAATATTGGTTTTCAGGATTATCGATTACTTTTATCGATTTTATCGATTTTTTTGCAAAGTTTGAGCTACGGGGCTGGGAGTTCGCACATGGGGGTAATCGAGCATGGGGATTCCGAATACAATATTGGTTTTCGGGATTATCGATTACTTTTATCGATTTTATCGATTTTTTGCAAAGTTTGAGCTAGGAGGCTGGGAGTTGGCACAGGGGGGTAATCGAGCATGCTGATCACTCCCAAGGGGGGTGATCAGCATGCTCGATTACACCCCTGTGCAAAATTCCAGCCCCCTAGCTCAAATTTTCAAAAAATCGATAAAATCGATAAACGTAATGGACGATCCTGAAAACTAATATTGTATTCGTAATCTGCATGCTCGATTACCCCCTGTGTAAACTCCCAGCCTCGCATGTCAAAATTTACAAAAAATCGATAAAATCAATAAAAGTAATGGACGATCCTGAAAACTAATATTGTGTTCGTAATCAGCATGCTCGATTACCCCCCTGTGCAAAATCCCAGCCTCGCATGTCAAAATTTACAAAAAATCGATAAAATCAATAAAAGTAAACGATAATTCTGAAAACTAATATTGTATTCGGAATCTCCATGCTCACTTCCCCCTGTGCCAACTCCTAGCCCTGTAGGTGAACTCTGCAAAAAATCGATAAAAATCGGTAAAATCGACATCGATCGATAACGAAAAGTGGACTGTGACACCCGCCGGAGCCCGAAGTGTATGTGGGCCAAGTTTGGTCCGGATACGGCGGAGCCGGGTAAGCCATCTAGTAATAAATAAAACGTATCCATTGCATAAACAGCTCTGATACTTGACACTGGACCATTTGAGCAAATTTGGGCGATTTTGCTTCAGTTTTGCGTTCAATTTTTTGACCTGAAAAACGAGCATAACTCGGCGTCCAGAGGCGCTTGGCAGATTTGGAAAGCAGATTCGGAATCACCGACTAATGCTCTTCAAAGCAGCATGGGTCTTAGCTGGAAAGGCCACGACTCGACACGGTTCCCTTGTTAGTTACTATCTGCAGTTCTGCTTCAACTTGGATAAGTATGAAGCAAATCGTTGATCGCACTTCACTGCTGTAAGAGTACCTTGGATGAAATGAAGAGGATTTTGGGACTGGAGGGTGGGGGGCATATTTGACTGCGAAGGAAAATCAAAAAACTAAAAGCGCATACATTAGGCTATTTAAAGTTACTGAGAATGCAAAATTTGCACCCAGCCGTAATGCTTTGTAAGTTATGTCAATTAAGGCATAACAAATTTTTTCAATGTTCCTCAAAATGTGACTGCACATCAAAAAAGATATTTCGTGGAAAGTTGTGTAGTGAAATCAGCTTACGCAAAAATGCTGTTAAACAAATATTTGAACTTTTGGGAAGTTCTTTCAAGCGGCTGATTCCATAGAGGCACTACGTGCTACAGGTTCTTACCGTAATCCCGCAATAAGAGTAAGAGAACTAAGTTTCATCCAAGTTTTTCTTGCAGATGTAGCCGGAGCGAGCTCTGCGGAATGGCATCCCAAAGTTTGGCAAAAATCATTGAAAAACTCTATATATACTATGGACAGTGGCGTACCCAGGATTTTGGCTCGGGGGGGGGGGCGGCAAAAATCTTTTTCGAATGAAGGTGCGTGGCGTTAGCCACGCACTCCGAAAAAATTTTGGGGGTGGGCCTTTTAAAATTTTTGCGGGCCCCCAACCCGTGGCGTCAGCCACGCCCCCGAAAAAATTTTTTTTGTAAGGCTAATCTGAATTTTTAAAAAATTTAAAATTTTTTAAAATTGTTTACAAAAATAAACAAGTCGTTTGCACATTTTTATAACTCATGTAAGTAACTTTCAAAATTTTCGCGACAAGTTCTCGGGGGGGGGGGGGGGCGGGGGGCCGCCCCTATCGAATTCTTGAATACTTGATGCTCATCGTCAGCGAATTTTCGTGTGGTCAGCGCGTATCGAATTTTCGAATATATTCGAAGAACATCGAATAATCGAATTGATGACCATCGAATATTCGACTTTCGAATAGAATAGTATTCGAATTTTGAAATTTTCGAATTTCCTACTTTCGAATAGTATTCGAAAGTTGAGACGAATATTCGAATTTCGAATACATTCGAAAACTGAAAATTTCGAATACTCGATTTTCGAAATTTATTCGAAATCTTAGATCTTCGAATATTCGGCTTTTCGAATCATTCGCATTCGAATGTTTTATTCGATTGATCGAATAATCATTCGATTCGGTCCCAAGTGCTTCTTTGCTCTTTTCACTCCTCACTCTATGTACCTTTTTTGGATCGCTCTATTGGACGCAATGGAGAAATGATACTGCTTTTTACAACGGCTGATCGAAATAGTTCTTACACCCATACACCCGGCGAAGTGACGCCGCAACGCTATGTCGAGCAGTACAAGACCAGCTCCCATCAGTACTTCTGTCGTAATGTTACTTATGGCACAGAGTATATGTATACCCTCGATATCAGCCCATGTCTTCCCTCAACATGACGTGGAGCACGTGGGTCGGTGAAGCGCCACCTCACTTCAGGCTTGCGCCACGTTACGTGCGCCTCTTTGGCGTGGTGTGGCAACAGGAACAACATGAGGAAGCCTGGGCCATATTCTTTTAAGCGCCACGCCACACCAAATGATGCGCCCTCAATGTGGCACGCTCGGAACGAGGCGGCGCCTCAACAATCCACATAATCCACATCATTGAGGAAAGACATATGGGTTGATATCGAGGGTATATCTGCGCCATCCCCCACCCGCGATTGTGGCGCAGTGCCATTTTAACACCGGAGAGTATTTGTGGAGCAATAACTGAGCGCGGCAAGCAGCGCCGCCCGCGGTTGAAGCCGTAGCCGCCATGCGCGCGCTGCGTTCGCGTCACTGATTGTGCCTCTATACCGTAGTAGACCTTAAACAGATATTTTACATGCTGAAAAAAAGAGGACGACGGATCAAGAGAATCAGAATGCTCAACTTCGACCATTTGAAATCTTGCTGCAGTTCTGATGTGCGTCTTTGATAGGGGTGTACTTTGATATTTATTGAGGTATTCAATAACATTAGATCAGTGAACACCAGCGAAACTCTGAGGTGCATTTCCATTCTCTACCCTACACACTAAATCAATACAATACAAGACTTTAGCATACAAGCTGGGACTATCGATCCACTTCGCCAAAAACAATATCCAAAGTTCCGATGACTGCAACAACATCAGCTATCAATGCCATGTAGCAAATGTCGTGTATAGCAGCCAAATGCGGGAATCCAGGAGCGCGGATGTAACATCTTCAAATAAAGACATGCAAGTGTCGCCGTAAAGAAGCTCCCAGTTTACCTGTAAGGCTTGCTGGTGCCGTCAGCTACAAGATAAACTCCAAATTCTCCTTTTGGCGCTTCGATCGGAACATAGGATGCTCCAGGTGGAACTTGATACCCCTCCGTAAAAAATTTAAAATGATGGATTAGCGATTCCATCGAGTCCTGCAGCAAAAACAATCCTCATTTAAAAAAAAAAACTGGACATTCTCACCTTCATCTCGGCTCGTTTTGGAGGAACAACTTTATGGTCATCGACCTTCACTTCACCAGCGGGCATTTTGTTGAGACATTGAAGAACTATTCTCAAAGACTGTCTCATTTCCTCAACGCGACATAGGTATCTACAAAGACTTCAGAAGTAAGACCAAGTGGGATAGCTGGCGAACCTATCGTAACAATCTCCCTTAATTCCGACTGGAACATCAAATTCCATTTGATCGTAGACTTCATAGGGTTGGGTTTTGCGAACATCTTGCTTGATTCCTGATCCTCGCAGCATAACGCCACTAAAACCCCAGTTCAATGCATCCGCGGCGGAAACAAGTCCTAGACACGGTTTGTGATTACCGGATAATGGACCAAAATCGTACCTATATCAACTGTTCTTGCTTTCCAGATCCTGTTTTCAGTAAGCATGTCTTCCAACTCATCGATCCTTTCGGGAAACTGAAAAAAATCATAACTGAAAACATGTAATTCAGGGAGCGAAATATGATATCAGAAGATCTGCAAACGAGTAAATCAGCATGCCCAGACCAAGCCTGTTCTCAGAATTCAAAATTCATTCAAAATCATATCAGCAATGCTGATATGATTTGTTCTAAATGTTGTACCTTCACGGCCCAGTCGTAAATGTCATCCATTAACCCGAGAGGAAGATCCCACGCTACACCTCCTGGACGGATGTAATTCACATGCATTCGCGCACCCGAGACACGTTCTTGAAACTCGAACAGCTTCTCCCTTTCTGGAGAGTCATATTTCGCACATAATAAACAAGTGAAATTCAAAATCGAAGTATGAACATGTGGAGACTCAAGATAAATTCACCTTCGAACATCCAGAAAAACGGAGTCATAGCGCCAACATCGAGAGCATGCGTAGTTATGCCCATAATATGATTCTGAAGCCTAGTGAGTTCAGCGAACAATGCTGCAAAGATAGTTAACTTAGCTCCTTCAAACTGCATAAGACACTCACTGCGGATATACTTTGCCCGTGGTGGAATTTCAATACCCAGCAGCTTTTCGACAGCTAGAGCAAAGCCCTGTTCATTGCACATCATCGAGACATAATCCAGCCGATCAAAATACGGTACAGCCTGAAGATTTTGACTGATGAAACAACGGGAAAACTGCTGAATTCTGAAACTTTCCGCAGATCGAGGGATGCCTTGAGCACACAATCTTAGGGTAGCGAGTTTATCCCCAATAACCCCGAAACAACAATCAGGGGTGCTTTCCATTACACTACTGCAAATTATGCACTAGAAATGCTGAGATTAACTGTAACACCAAGCCATAAAGGCTGAGCCACTGATCTCAGTGATCAATGAGCTACAACAAGGTTCGGGCCTGAGATGAGCAGAGGGAGGGTTGTGATTTGGGTTGATTCTGTTGACAAAATCATGACACAGACATGACTGTGCAAAGTGGTTGAATGCCTGTTCTGCTCGATGATGTTCGAAAATTGTTCCCAATAAAAACAAACAAAAGGATCAAAAGCCTATTCCGTTGGAGGACAACCCTTGAAGACCTTTCTATTAAACAGTTTCATCAAATCTCGGGTTTATCGCATTATCTCTGAGCCGCCACGTTCGGCGATTTTCCACATGTTCGAATCCATCCCAAGCGCGGAGACTCGAATGCACACTACGCATAACCCTGTAAGTACATGCAAACTCGCTAATGTGTCAGAACATGCTTACAAAGAATCATAAACGCAACAAAGCCAAGCAGCGAAAACAGTGGAATGCGCGAGGTCGGTAAAAACCAAAACAATTGATTAGCGCAGCATAAACTTAGGGCTGTTTGCCGGAAACACAGGTTTCATCCTCAAACAAACTCAGTACCTAGTCATCAAAGCTCCCAGTGTCCTAAACATACCTGAGTGTAAGTTTTATATTCGATCAATTTCTCCGTCGCTCGATGAAGGAGACCAATATGAGGTATCGCTTTGATGACTACCTAGAAAAAATCTGGATATCAACGTTTTAGTCAAACACAACGATAGATGACCTCCAAAAAACACGTAGTCTTTGCCAAGAAAAAACAGACCTCGCCTTCCAGTTTCAGTACAAGCCGAAGCACACCGTGAGCTGCAGGGTGTTGTGGGCCAAAGTTCAGGATCATATTCTCAAGTTGTTTTTCACTTAAACAGAATTTTCAGAAATTTACAGTCTTCGACTGTACCAGAAGGCACGGTGTCTTGCCCATGAAGTCAGCGGTGCGGAAGCAGTGTGGCTTATTTCTATCCGCAACATAGGATAAATAGAGTACTGGGGACAGAATCTACCAATGGCACCAACCACCCGAACTAAGGGCAACGAGATTTTGATGCTGTATAATAGGGCGTTCCTTTACTAATCAGTCGCTCAAGTCTCATCAAGAAATGAATCCCAAAGCGAGAAAACCGCTCTGGAATGTAGAATAGCAACGCTGGCTCCGCCCATCAACCTAGATGGTTTGGAGATCAAGTCCCACGCGCTTTACAGTGGACAGAAAGCATGCTATAAGATGATTATAATAAAAGGCGGATCTACAACAATTCTGACATTGACACTGAAGCCAAATTTGTCTACGTAGTCGGGGGCCCCTCAAGCATCAAAATCTCATCCTTTTCGATGAGATTGCTGAGCTTGACCAAGATTGTTATGATAACTTTTATTGGCTGACATCGACGTTTCGGCGATCTACGCCTTCTTCGGAGCCTGGAAAGACGAAGTCATAAGTGTCTATCCACTCAGACGTCAAGTGCCAGGAACAAAACAAACCCGAGGAGATTAGCCAAAGACACGACGACGACGTCGACGTCAGCCAATAAAAGTTATCATAACAATCTTGGTCAAGCTCAGCAATCTCATCGAAAAGTGCTTACAACAATGCCAAGATTCAAGGAAAGCCGAACCTTTACTATAATAAGATCTCATCCCTTCGATTTGAAAGGACGGTCTCTCTAAATCTGGAAGACCTGCTCAACAGACGAAAAGGAATGGGCTTCGTGATGCTTATGTCAAACCTACTTTCATCTTCAGTATAGCACTAGGCTAAGTGTTTCGCAGTCTCAGTTGTCAAACCTCTACATACAGTGTTCCCATTGAGCTAGCTCTTGCAAATGCTAAGCGCTCCTTACACAAATGGCTTTACCAGCATCAGCTGCTCCAAATGCTATAACAGTGAAACATACCGATGCTTGCCTTCATATGAGTCCGAAAATACTGGCATCTCATAAGCTAGTTTCTCGAGTTTGTCCAAACCAATGGCTTTATCGTACTCATCGTACTTTTCATTCATCCATAGTTTCCCCATTCCTCCAGCGCTCTAAACTTTTATGTTATAGCGAAGTCGACCTGACAAGGGATAAAATTGCCTTGAATTGTCTCTCGAATTTGGCATCCGGGTACCAAACTGTATGCGAACTTCTCTCAGCCAACAGTGCTTGTGATGCACCTACAACTCGGCAACATAGCCCGCCTAGCTTGGTGCCAAGCATGGCCCAGCCGACTAAAACAGTCATTCACAAAGCTTAAGGTACTATATCAAAACAAAATGAAACCGAAATAAAACGGAGTCTGAGTCGGCATTCCCGTTAAGATGTAACCAAACTTTATTACAGACATCAGAATCTCAAAGATGAATACAATATGCAAAAAAGAAACCTCCCCACGCTCAAGAATTATAGCAGAGATAAAGCAAACATCATTTCAGCCTCAATCTCGAGTCACACGCAGCATGAGATACAAGGTTTAACAACATAAAATTCGCTGAAAAAGTGTGTCAGATATTTCACTCAATATTTGACAGTGGAAAAATAATGATGTGATTGAAGCCCAAAATTACATAGAATGGTATACACGATTCATGACACGCAAAGACTGGGCGCCATTGCGTCCGGCCAAGATAGCTTGTGGATGGGATAGACAGCAGATGGTAAGAGAAACGAAAGAGCGCTCGATCAGTGAGAAGCCGATATGTCCGCAGTCTTTGCGTTACGAATAGCCTAGTTATTCTTTCAAAAAAAAACTGAGCCGTGGTCCGAACAAAGTACAGATATTATCATGAAACTCGTATTAGAAGAGTCGCTAGTTTTGGACAGATTGAACACACGAATTTAGCTTGCATCAAAGAAGTAGATTATACTTCTTCATTGTCACAGGATGTTCCCTCGTCCACTTTGGTAAGCAATGTTCGTTCACGGACTAAATATTCTTTACAAAATACTTGCTTATAGAGTAATCCATCAAGAGGAAGTTACAAACCTGATTTCTTAACAAATTTCAGTGATTCTTCCGAACTAGAAGGGATGGCGGATAGATTAAGGTCCGCAAAGGTCAACTGCAATGAAATATTAGAGTTGATCGACTTTCGAATTACAACTACTGGTGAGACAAAGTTCAGATATTTGCTTAAACACATTGCGTGAACCACACCGGGTAATTTTGACCCACCCCGCGGATGCGAGATATGCTGCGAAAACTGATGCCTCACGCGATGTGATGATGTGCCTCATTCACATGTGTAGCAGCAAAAAGAAATAACATACATCACCAGATTCTTTCACGGGGGTAGAAGCAGCACGAGCGCACCAACCATTGTAGGCGGATGATATCGTTGACGACATCGGCTGAAGAGTATGCAAGCTTCATCTCGATTATGAAAAAAAGTTTAGGGTAGTGACCGTTCTGGCAGCTAATTGATCTGCAGATCTGGATGATGCTGAGGCTAGTGGCCTAGACTGATTTTGCAGAATGCTGCCTGTAAGAAAATTAAGCGCTTCTGTATCAGCCATAGAAAAGGTACTGTTTCCAATCTTAGTATGGTAGGTGCCAGAGTAAGCGAATATTTTGTTCAGGTTGGGGTCCCGCGCAGAATGGACGTCACTCATCATGCTGGCGTCAATCCAAGTGACGTCAATTCTGCGCGGGACCCCAACGTGAACAAAATATTCGCTTACTCTGGCACCTACCTATAGTGGCCTGCATGATCGCGAGAGTCGGACGTGCCTACGGCCATTGCGTCGCGCACGTCAGGTGCGTCCGACGACGGTAGGTGCCAGTCTTATCCGGTCGGGTGGCGAGCAAGAGGAACGATAGCTGATGGTTGTCAATAACTCGCGCACAATTCACCGTCATTTTTGTCAGCACACAGAAATTTGGAGCATTTCCTCCTTTTATGCTTTCATTTAGGCAGGAGAATCGGATAGATTGTGTTTGCTCAAAAATGAGGTGTGAAAATTAGCTGAACATGTCAAAAAAAGGTCTCAAAGGTGGAACTTCAAATATTGCAAGCTCATTCCTGCGAGAACATCACCGACTGCACATACCACCGGGAATTAAGCAAGACATATCTTATATATAAAGCTGAATGTCTGTTTGTCTGTCTGTCTGTCTGTATGTCTGTACGTATGTTCCGAATAGAAAATTCCATTTATGAACCGATCCGGACCAAACTTGGCACACATACACATCGGGCCCCGGCGGGTGTCATAGGCCACCTTTCGTCATCGATCGATATCGATTTTATCGATTTTTTGCAAAATTCGAGCTACGGGGCTGGGAGTTGGCACAGGGGGGGGGGGTAATCGAGCATGCTGATCACCCCCGTGGGGGTGATCAGCATGCTCGATTACACCCCTCTGCCAAATTTCAGCCCCCTAGCTCAAATTTTGCAAGAAATTGATAAAATCGACATCGATCGATAACGAAAAGTGGACTGTGACACCCGCCGGGGCCCGAAGTGTATGTGTGCCAAGTTTGGTCTGGATCGGTTGAGAAATGGAATTTTCTATTCGGAACATACGGCGGAGCCGGGTAAGCCAGCTAGTTCATTAAATTGAGTAGAACATTGATTTCATATCTACTATTTTTTGTAAGTCTGCAACTTGCGAATTGTGAAGGCAAATAGTGCATTGGCACCAGCGGCTGGCAATTACTATCGTTTTTCTTGCACCACACCCCAAATGGTAGTGCAAGCTCACAAAAAATTTCGAGAACTTTTACACAGATAACCTAGGGCATGTCGAGACCAAATGATGCTTTAAAGCTTGAAATAAAGTGCATCAACGAAAGTCGACCGTTGTAAAGGGCGGGATGAAAGAAAACAAAACTGTTACCACTTGGTTTAACGAAGTTCTCCTTTTCAGCGGTTTCTGCATGATCCTGACCATGATCCTTGTCCTCATTTTCGCTATTCTTTATGCCTTCAGTCACGGCGTCTCTCTGTGGTGCACTTTCACCTAAAAACTGGGTAATTCCTCTTCTCCTTAGTAATCAAAAGAAAATTTATGGTGTTGGAGTCAGACATTGGTTGTGACGTAGCGATACGCCGCGCGCGGACGCTCCTATCCCCGGCAGTCGGCTCCAAAAGTTATCGCCTATATTAATTGCTGCTGTCCTTCTTTTTCTCTGACCTGCGACAAGCAGGGCTCATGTTGGCAACAAGAAACAAGATGTTGTCATTGCAAAGCTACTATTCAATAGTTTATGCTAACATATTGTTGCATGTTGCCAACATGTTAGCCATGCGTGCCGCAGGTCAGAAAAAAAGAGCAAGAGGGCGACTGTGGAGCAAACGATACATGGTACGTGAACGGTAGCATGCCGCATAACGTCATTTCGCTCGCATTTTTGAAGAATTGCAGGTCATGATGCACCTACATGCTTCTTTTTCCTGCTTTTCATGCTGCTTTCTGCGATGAGCAACTTCACTGATAGATTGATTGAATTTCAAATTAAATTTGCAAATTCGAATCAGTCAATCCAAACTGTTTTGAATTCAAGTTCGAACTTCATATTCAGCACCCCTTCAGAAGCATTCAATCGGAAGTTACTTGCTGAAAGAAAGAAAAGTACTTGTTTGTTACTTGTAAAGTGTTTCTACGTTTACCCAGATACTGATGTAAGAAGCAATACAGGAATTTATCAGCGATCGAGCACTCTAACCAGGGCGTGAATCAACGCGGGTACTTTTTGCGCTTATTATCCACTCTCAAACTGAGGCAGGGTTGTGATAAACATATGAAACTGATGCAAGTATGCCCTAGCATAGGGCAAGCGCACCGCGATAGACGCTAGCGTGTATCACAAGGTCCGGGAGGGGAGCTAAGAAGGGACGCATCATATCTCGCTGCTCTAGACTTTACGTTCTTCTCTGCGTGTCTGTTTTAGGCCCACATGCACATCCCCGCGGGGGAGAGGATCGCAGCTTGAAAGCTTCTTCTAAAGCTCCAGATATATGGATTTCATGCTGTCTATCCAGCCGTAACTTTCAACTATCCTCTACTATGAACATAACGAAGTGTAGCGGGAAGTTGTACAGGCCGCTTTTTCAGCTTTTTTGGGCGATCCCTTCATAATCCCCGGCGGCCAACCGGTTTGCACCTCGCTCCTTTTAACTTGTTCATAGGTGAAGGATAGTGGGAATACTAACGGATGGATGGACAGCGTGAAATCTACATACCTGAAGCTTCAAGATATGAAGCTTTCTTTGACGCTGTGACCCCTCCCGAGCAGGCATGTTAATGCATGCGGCCTATAAAAGGTTCTCGTACCCCGATACTTGTGCATAGTGGCTGCCAGGGCACTGCGATAGAAACTGAGATTTTCGTTTTAAGTTAGCCACTGAATAATACCCAAGAATCGGCCTTGTTTTCAAAGTCGTCTATCTCATCATAAACAAGATGCAAACGTCGTAAAGATGCACTAAGATCCAAACACATCTGGCTCCTTTTTCGAACGGCTTGAGGTGAATTGTAAGCCGGAGAATCCGACTGTTTTCTGCGTCTGTAGAAGTATTAGACGGAGAGTTCGACGTTGAATGAAGAAATTGTGTAGATCGTGCAAGCATGGTAAAAAATAACTTTGAACCCCAACACAGTAAGGCAAATTCATTTGTGATGCTTGGGTTGGAAGTTATTTTGACAGCGGTAATTTGTTTGAAAGGGTTCTTACAAAGAACACTCTACAACAGTTTTGACAGATAAGGCACCCTTTGCTGGGAAAACTTCAGAGGCAGTAGAAGTCATGTACAATGTATTACACAAAATAAGAGCGAATGTACATGAACTCCGTTTCTTATACACAAGCACCGCAAGCTTTTAAACTGCATAAAACTTGCAGAACACTCTCCAAACTTTGTTTCGATCATTTTTTTCAACAAAAAAAAGCGATCACCAAAGCTGCTAACAAAAAGAAAACATTCATTGTCGGTCACAAAGCCCTTCTAGATTCTTAGGTAGCAGGTTGTACTAAGGATCTACTATGACACTATTGGGCATCATGGCACGCTGCCGTCATATTTCCGTAGGGAGCCTCCAGACCGCGCCGGAACCGCGCCGGTTGTCGCTTTTGCAACCAGTAGCTGCTTTCGCGCCGATTGCCGCCATTGCAGCTGAAGCGCAATGTGTCAGATTTTGTCCTTGGAGCGTAGCGAGAGCCTATTGGCACTAGATGCGGGGCTTTTCGATTCCTTTGTCATCACTCTTTTGTTTCCAAAGTTCTCTTCTTTGCTGTAGTAATTCATTGCAGATGTGGTTTATTTGATCTGGATTCCTTTTTTTCGGTTTTTTTTTCTAGGATGTTGGAAAAATCGATTTATTGTCGAGTGAAACTCTTTCAGTCTAAATCCCGCTGTAGGGCTATTGCAAAGCAAGGCCTTTTTGACGTCTATCTCGTTTTGAAACTGGTTTACTATGCTGGGTGAGCGGGTTGTGAATGTACCTTCTTTGTTTTTGAAGCTGTTCCATCGTGCCGTAGCAGCGATTTAGCTGCAGAACTCAAATTCTCTGTACTATTTTTGCTTTTGGTACTTCACTACGCTAACGATCTATTCCAAAGTCATTTTGTGCCTTCTCCTTCTCCATTCAAGTATATACTGTTTACTTCAGCATAATAAAATAGCTAACCTTGAGTAGTTAAACGAGACTTATATCAGTAAGTGTACCTTCAAGCAGTATAGTAGAGTGCAGTCGATTCATAAATGATCATGTGTGTCACCGCACACAGTCCACCTTTGGCGCCCTCATCCTGGATTTGCAATTGCAGAAACGCAAGAGTCTTACCGATTATTATCGATACATGAATTTGAGGTGATTAGTACCTAAAAAGCAAAGAAATATAAACAAACACATTGAAAACACGTCCCCGAAGAGATGTTTCCTCCCAGAATCCAGGATGGGCACGCCAAAGGTGGACTGTGTGTGCAGTGACACACACGATCATATAAAATGAATCGACTGTAGCTTCAAAATTAGAAAGTGCAAAAAACTGCGTTTTGCGACGATATCGTCCACTCAGCATAGTAAACCAACCTCAAATCGGAAAAGACATCGAGAAATCTTGCCTGCGCAAAACACAGCAGACCAAATCATCAAAACGAAAGCTGTGCAAAAAAAAACAGCGTTCCGCAAAGATTCATGAGCTCCCAGATTTGTGAGTAGGCGGATTGCGGGCTTTCCCTGATTTTAATGGTAAAGTTAACGAAAGAGTACGAAAAACAATGCTGCACGCAGTTCCAACAAGTTCACACTTATATACAGGGAAAGTCCGCAACCCGATGTCCTTAATACAAGTAGCATAGCTTCAAAACTAAAGACAAATTTAAAGAAACTTTGTTCTACGAATTTGATCAACTACCGTAAAAGAATAGTTTAGAAACGAATGAAAGACAAAACGCCGTTCGTCACTTTTTTGGATAAAGAAACAACTCTACGGCGGGAGGTGATTGAATATTCGACAATGGGTCGATTACTCCAGCATCGTAGAACCTCCAATGAATTACTCACTGAAAGAAGAAGACCTTGGAAACAAAATGACAAAGGAATCGAAAAGCCTAGTATTTAGTGCCAATAGGCTCTCGCGACGCTCCAAGGACAAAATCTGTCACAATGCGCTTCAGCTGCAATGGCTGCAATCGGCGCGAAAGCAGCTACTGGTTGCAAAAGCGACAACCGGCGCGGTTCCGGCGCGGTCTGGAGGCTCCCTAAGGCTCCCTCTGGAAGCTTCGCCCTGCTAATGCAATAAAATCACGGCGCTCGGATGACCAATGTCTAAGGAGGGGGACGCACTAATATGAGAACAAAACATATGATGCTACAACAAACCCACCAAAGGGGATGACAGGAACGGCGCCGGCTGCATTACTTCTTCCCATACTGTCCTCTGACTTCTGTAAAAAATTCTGGGTAGAAGAAGACACAAGTAGTACATTTGCGCTCACTAATGCGGTAGTTTGCATATGTATAATTCAGAAAGTAACCATGAGAATGAGAGACTGCAGCAAGGAGGACCCGTAAATAAAGCGACTGTCAACTAGGTTGCCGGAAATTGATACAGGTTTTTGTACGTTTTTTTCAAACCAATTATCCCCCTTTTAGTACCCGTCCACGATTCCTTGAATTGTGGATAGCGACGGCGCGCGTCGCGTGCGCATTTTGACAACCTATTTTCTTGGCTTCCATGTGTATCTGAACTGCGGTTTTTTTTTTTGATTGCATGCATATGATCAAACATCGGAAGTGAATGAGGTGAGCATTTTGAGCATTCTACGATCTTGTGAGGAAGGCGCAAAGACCGTATCGAGTTCGTCGTCACGATTTTGTGAAAAGTCTATACGCAAGCACTCACATGACTGGAATATTCCTTTTCTTCATTCATTTTCAGGTCCTCTGCTAAATCCCTTCCACTATTCCTCACACTTGTACCGATGTCCAGCGCCTGATGGTTATCAGGATGCCTGGCGGCTCCAAGTGATCTTCTAGAAAGCCGCCTTTCCAGAGCAGCTTTCTCTGCACGGCGTTTGACAGCGGCGCGTTCCGCGCGTAGATGCTGCTGCAATCAGTCATACGAATTCAGCCTGATCAACTGACAAACAGCGCACTACCTCATACTTCCGGATGTCGTACTCAACTTCTGCCTTGAGCTGTTGATCTCCATCCAAGAAAGCGTCGATTTGTTCCTTGTGTTCACGGCAGATAACGCTGAGAAAAAGCTAATAATCAAACAAATAAACGATGTATGAACTTGCCGAAAAACAGCATAGAGATATTTTCGTAATCCGGAACGTCGTTCATTGAGGTACATGCGTAGGTCGAGAAGTGTTGGCATAACGTAATCGAGCATGGCTTTGCGAAATGCATTAACAATTATGTCTTTCGCCGCAGCCTGCATTTTCGAGATTTATAATGAACAGATGTAAGTCTACTGGCTTGAAACTCACCACAACAGCTGTTGGTGGTTCTTCCTCTTCATCTGGAGTTCTGCCCACATCCATGTTTAGCTTAATTTCCCTCAGAGACATTACCTGAATATGCACTGCACTCACAACGTCAACTCGATCAAAAGATATATGTGTATTCACCAACAAAGCGTCTTTCACGAGATCCTGCACGGCGCGGTCTTCGTACTTTATCTTGCCGTTCATGAGTGGACAAAAAATTTGAGTACAGATTTGAGCCATGAGGGTGAATTTGCGCGGATCATCAAACGTGCTTATCTGATAATCAATAAGGACTGACGAAACAACTTTTCTCAAACGGTTTACCATGAACTTGTAAATTGCCATGCGGTTTTCCAGGTTTTCAAGTCCATGAAGACAAACTCTATGAGCCTGGTCAAGCGGATTGGCAGCTAGAAATGACCTGGATTCTGAATACCTAAGAATGAAAAAGGCAGAAAAATGTACCTTCTCTTTCAGAATCCATGGGAACATTATTGAAATACATCAAACATTCAATGAAATGGTTCTCGAATAAGCTAGGGAACTGCAGCAGCAGCACATCACGCTGAAGCGACCCCATTTTGATTACTGTAAAAACGCCAGCGAATCTCACCAAACAGAACTTCGCATAATCGCTAATGATTTCATTTTCGTCCAAGATAGTGGACACGAAACGATACATTATCTAAAAAGAAAAACGATAAGTTAGTGATTATTTTTTAATCAACATGCCTGTCCTTCCCATCTGATGTACTGCTCCTTGATCAGAGAAGTCAGCGACTCCAAAACTTGTTGACGCACTAGCGTAGATCTGTCTTTGAGACAAGCGGCCACTATGGGTGAGTAACGATCTACCATCAGAGTGTACCTAAGGAAGAATGGTAGCACCCATAAGTGACATGGAATTTCGGCCATTGTATAACTGCGAAAATAGCAATAAATTCTCAAATGGTCACAAGTTTTCTTTTTGGATTAGAGAGCCACTATAAAGTTGGACAATAGAATTTAAGTTCCAAGTAGATAATAACATTTTGAGATAACCTGACATAATAACGAAGCCAGTAGTTGACAGATTTTTGTGTCTAGCTGTGTAGCCAGAAAGATGATTTGCCGCACAACTTTCGCCTCAAATACTTTGTTGCATGGAAAGCTCTTCAGACACATCAAGAACCATAGAAAACCAAAAGACATACATTCTCAATAACGATAAGATCATAACTCAAAGGCCAAATGATCACATACGTACGCTTTCCTATGGTAATCTCACAACTCAATCTGTTATGGCCGTCCCGCTGTGCTAGGGGAGCAACGCTGTCGGGGTGGCCCCCATCCACTCCTGCCGGACTGGCTCGAGCGCTTCGCGCGCGAATGGAGTGGCTTAGGCCCGCGCTACACTTTCCGCTTGATCCGGTTCATCCACTTCGCTACTGGTCAAATCAGCAAACTGACGAATGGCAAAGTGGATGAAGCGGATCAAGCATCAAGCGGATCAAGTATGGGACGTGTCTCAGACCATTTTCTCGCATGTGTGCGGCAATTGCGTCTACCACTGTCTATGCGTGCTTATATGAAGTTGTGAACTCATTAGGGAACACAACCAGTGAAAGCAAGTAAATAAATTTGTCGGTTTGGGTTGTCGCGGTGATACTAATGACTAATAGTCGGGAAGCTCCATGCTCTAAGGTCTAAGGTGAAGGTCTTTCGGTAAGGTCCGCTGGTAAACTTCATATGAGCATGTCAATGGTAAGATCCGATTATTTTGAATGTTTGGCTCTATACTGCCAAAGCTGTGACTGGCCTCAAGACTTGCATACCACCATTCTGTGACTAACGAAAAGATATTCGAGAACGCTTCGGCAAATCTAATTAACAAGTTCAAGATTGTGCCTCAAAGCATTCTGGATAATTTACTATTTGGAGTTCGTGCGAAAATAAGTTCGAGCTTGTAGAAGTGTGCTACAGTGCTCAAGCATCTTATTCACATAGATGATGAGGACTCGTCATATACGTTATACAAGTGTCCGCCCCCCCCCTCATCTCGGTACGCCACTGGATGTAAGGTTTTGTTGACTGAGCATTTTTTCAGCAATTCAAAAGGCAGAGCCGTGGTTGACTGAAAGTTATATACGCATTCTGCAATTGAAGGTGCGGGCAAATCGCCGGGACGTCTAAGTCGCCGCTTCTGAAGCTTCTGAAGGGTTTTCTCGCTCAAGAAGCAAATCGAAGCGATACGCTGGCTTTAGCCCTTGACGGGTTTGCACATAGCAAACGCAACAGACATAAACTGCTGAACTGCTAAAGTTTGCTTCCAGGCAAGCATAGGGTCACTCGTCTATGATTCTCACAAAATAGCCGAAAAAGGACTTCAGAATACAGCATTTTAGGTATCATATTCGGAGTCAGCGCCATGAACTCCTAGATAAGGCAAAAGCATGTCGAGATTCTGCGAGGACGGTGTTTACATGAGGTGCTGTATACTTACAGTTGAATGTGGAGGCTACAACGCGTAAGACCATCTGATAGCTTGCTCCTGATATAGAATCAAGAGTTGGCTCATAACCGATAAAAGTATCATATTTTGCTACTATGTGATAGGTGTTACGCAACAGATAGACTACCAACCTTTTGCACAGATCGCAAACGACCATCGCTATATTATTTCTGATCACATGATCAGGATTCAACTTCAACTGCTTAACGAATACAGGGATTGTTGCCTTTGCAATTTTCTCATCCTTAAACGAGAGGTTCGTTATATATCAATAACTGTTCGATACAAACCATTAAGCAGAATTTCCCTATGGTACAAACAGCGTATGCTCGCACCGGGGCCGTGAGGAGGGGACGTCGGTTACTCATAGCCTCTTTGACAATATGCTGAGGAATCACTGGCCCACTCTGGACAGATGTTGGTTGAGAAGCTGATGACGCTGGCTGCGACGACCCCCCTTCGCTACTCTATAAGCATTGTTCGTTAAGGCTTTGTGGGAGCTTTCAGTAACACAAAGTGTAGTATACAGAAGAATGCGATTTCGCATCATATTCAAAACTTACTGCAACAGACTGAGCTGGTGAAGGAGCGCGAGAGGAAGATGGCGATGGAGCAAGTGATGGAACAGCAGAGTTGATGACTAGAAAACGGGTGAAGGTTCCAGGACATTGACATCTCTCATTTACCCGGAAGTTCGTCATCGTTAAAGATGTCAGAAGCCAACACTGTTTTCAGCGCATCGAAGTGGCGAAGACCCGTACGCATGAGTTCCGGAGATAGCTGGACTACCTCCCCAATCGTGACCACCATACGAATAAGAAGGATTTCGCGAAGCGCCAACCTAACTGCAGTACTCATTCTCTATCATCTAAGGTTATCTTCAACTACCTTTGACTGTTTTCTTCATCTAACTCCTCCTCTATTGCAAGAAGAGACTCACGAATCTTTACGCGACAAGTATTCAAAACTTGTTTACCGAAACTTTTGAGCCTACTCTTTCCTAAAACACATGTCTCCATTTATATATCAGTTGACATCACACCAAACCTGCGCCTTCTTCTCGAACACCATCCAACAATTCCGCGAGGCAACAGTAAGCGGAGGAGATGTTCGGCGCGTGAATTCTATAAAACAGAAGCTTAAAGGTAGTTACCAATACACATATTGCAAGAAAAGGACACCTGAAGTTAGCGATTTTGTTTTCGAAGTCACCTATCAAGCTTTTTTTGTCATTTTTTGTAATACTGGCAGAACCTCTCGCAAGCACTTGCGTTACATAGCGAACCTGAGAAAAAGCAAAGAAATATATTGACTTCATAGCGTAACACTTACTCTACTGTTCTGATCATCGTCTTCAAAAGCATACCATGCTGAAACAGCCTTGTGGGGTTCCACCTAGTGAATTGTAAATTCGGAAAAAGTGAGAGCATGACAGAAGTATGATTATTCAACTTGCCTTTAGAATGGTGCCCAAGTCGGCGAGAAGCATCCAAATAACATTGCTGTGTTCTGGGCATTCGTCGAGTTTATGATTCAATGCTTTAACAATGTCAGATGCTACGTTTTTCTCCAGATGCTGGTGTGTGAAGGCACGAGCCAACAGCCGACTGCATAGTATTTCAAGATTTACAAGAAGTCAAAAAGAAAAACATGTTTACCGGTTATTATTTTCCATCTCAACTGCATGCAGTAACTTCCACAACTTAGTGTCATCTGCGAGGCCAAGAAGCGGATCCAATACCGTTTTCTACAACTTTGACTGCAAGTGGAAGTTGCTATTTGCGACAACGTACCGTCACAGTCTGTGAGATTAACTGTTGAACACTTTGCTCACTGTCGTTTATCATAGGAAGAACGGCACCTAACCAAGCGTTCAAAAGCGCTTCCCTAAAATGGAACCTCAGCACCATATCTTTTGATATATGTAGCATACCGATGTTGCGAGAACGTATTGAAAAGATAGCTGAGTACTTCTGCTGCTTGCTTCCTTACCATCAAAGAGCTGTCTAAACAGCGATCCTGAAACTCATTGCAAATTGTAAGGTCATCAACAATATTTTGACAGATCATACCTTCACACACTCCACAGCACTAGCGACTTCGTGAGGTTGCTCTAAAGAGGGAAAGAAAGCCTGTAGTGCCATAAGAGAGTATTTGCGGACTCCAGCCTAGATCAGTAAGTAACATATACTCACGATATACACAGCTATCGTTCCTTCCACAGTTGATGCTACTCTTGGTCTGCGTCTCCGATTTGCGACAACGTATAGCTAGCATGATGGCAACGTGCAACAACATGTTTGCAACTGCAACAACACACGTTTTGGCTATCAGCCTCAGCCCCAACATGTTGCCCCATGTTGCCGAGATATTGGCATGCTGCGGATCAGAGGCGCAGACCAAGGGTAGTAGCAACTATGGAAGGGACGATACAGCACTCACCGTATCATCGCCAATCCCTGTGAGAATAATATGTAACATGACGTTGTCAATAGTGATCTCCGAATCGTCAAGGAACATCATTTCATCAATTTCTTCTTCGTCCTCTTCAGCTTCTTTTTCGTTAACATTGAACCCACCCACAAAAATTTTTGGCGACTCTTCGAACTAAGAGCATGATTGCATTCAATGTGCTTCAAAAGAAAGGTCAGAACCTGGTCTCGCCAGTCGAAACAAGCTGAATACCATTTGCCTCAAAGGCAGCGGCTCGGCAGATTTTGCATCTCCATCTTTTTGCATGTTTTGAGCCTTCTCGACCCGTAGATCCCGAATCTGAGCTTTAAAAGGGGTGAAAAGGCCTTTTTCGGGGCGTTTTTGTCAATTTCCAAAAGGTAGCTCGGACGAAATTTTTCAAAGGAAAGTCGGGAGGCCCTGGCAAGAAGACCCTGCTGCCTGTAATTTGGCCTTGTATAGCATGCATAATGCGGAAAAGCGATTTGGGGGGTCCCGCGCCGTCTAGCGGAGAATACTCGTCCGAACAAGGTGTTAGGGGAGCGAAAGGAGGAAGGGGAGCGGCGCTTGGGTCGCCCCCTGACTTGCAGAGTTCACATTTTCGGCGCGGAGTTGCTGTTTTGGTTCACTTGAAGGGCCTCCTATCCATCTGTGTCAAAATCTGAGGTAGCTCAATCTGCCGAGCCGCTGCCTTTGAAACGCTGAGCTCAAATAGTTTATTATCTGCTCAACACCTATCTGGAAGCAGTTGTGAACCTTGATAGTGCGGATTCGTCAAGATTCTGTAATGGATGTTCTACGAAAATCGTTTTCAAAACACCTATTTAGGCTTATAGCGGTTGCGCTTCTTTCAAGTGATTATGATAATCATAATGAATGTGATTACGCGTCATGAGGCTGCCCTTAAGAGAAATTTGTACATTGGGACTTAGAAAATTTCTATATTTAACGCTCGTAACTCTTCCAGATAGCTGTTAAGCAGATGCAAGGCTCTGCATGATCGCCAGAGTCAGCGAATTTACGACCATTGCACGCGAATTGAGTATAACTTTCCCAGTTATCTTTCGCCATTCAAACGCTTTTCTGGTGGCCGATGTTAGCTTCCAATTACCTAGAACGATTTTGAAAAGTACAGAATTGCTGGTTTGGGGGCTGTGGCATTCTGCGTGTACAATGGCCGCAAACTCACCGACTCTCGCGACCACGCAGAGCCTTATGGTGATAAATATATATATTTGGAGTCAGCGTTCCAAGGTGGGTGCAGCGGCATATAGCTTGTTTGAAGCCGGACCAAGTCCTGACCATTCCCTTGACAGATTCTCATTAGCTAAGATTGCATAAAAAACATGTATACTAACTAGAAACAGCAAAACGCTCCAAAACTTAGAGAAAACCTAAGCATACTTACCATAAGCGTAGCACGGTTACATAACTGAACGCGAAGTTCGACATGGCTCAACAGTGCCGCTAGATGGTACATTGCTCTCACACGAACAGACGAGGCCTTATCAAGGCAACAACGAATTATGCAAGTGTAAAGAGCAGGCAGCACGGGAACTCGTTCAGGTGTTTTCCTATAACACAGTTATAACTCAAAAAAGAAAAATCTTTGCAAGCTTACTTGGGCAAAGTTTCTCCACGCTTTCCAGTTTCAGAAGAAGAACCGCCATGTAGCCCACAACGGTCTTTACTTTTCTGCCTTTCACTCGAATCACTCTCAGAATCCGACTTATCACCATCTACATTCTGCTCATCTTCTGGTGGAATACTACTCCTGGAGGTTGTATTGGCTTCCACGCCAACCTATCCAGAACGGGATTAAAAACACAAACTGTGATTTTATGTTTTCTTTTACCGTATTGACGTAAATGTTGTCCATTTCATCGTAAAAACCTGGTTCCGGATCGGTAAAAACTAAAGAAAAGCGCAAAACAAATCAAAAAACTGAGATATTTGAAGGGCATTTTACCGAAATTAGTGAGTATCAAGGGAGTAATTTCGGTGGTGAAGTTTCTGACAGAAACCTTCTGACTTCTTGAGAAGCAGTCGATTCGCTGTACAAACTCCTGGAAACACATTAACTATATGCAGCTATCAAAATGCTGAAAAAGTCTTACATAGTGAAAAATCCGTGGAAGGACTTGCAGAACACTGAATACAGACTGGGCCAAACGAGTGCGATAATCCAATCTATCGGTGCACCTTTGATACAAGTTTTCCAAGACCTCAAGGTAATGATAATGCAGATAACAAAAAAACCTGCCAAAACCACATACTGACCAAACTGCAGCAGGCTCAATGTAGGCAAAAACGAGCTAACATGTGAATGTTCGAAAAGAATCGATTGAGAAATGGTTTTAATCTTAACGACGCTAGCGGCAAAGAGGAAGTGTATCACAGAATAAAAATGTAGAAACATTTTCCTCTATAATATCTGCCCCCAAACAAAAACGCAAAACAGAGATACATATTTCATTTCTAGATAGAGTCAATGACTGAGGATAAGCTGCGATATCACTGCAAAGTAAGCAGGGAGATTGGGTCATTTATTTGCTTTAGCGCACGAAGTTAATGACACGGATGTACAAAATGTTTTAGTACAAATGTTTAAACACTAACTAAGTCGTTTGATCCAATTCGTATGTAGACACCGCAAGATACGCTTATTTTACTACTAAGTTGGCAAAAAAGGTTTCGGACATTGCATTTCAACACTAAATAGGGCACCTCCATACCGTTAGACAGAGGAAAGCAATTTTTACAAGACTATGGCAAGCATGAACATTTCCCATGTTTTCCACGGAAATGCAGGCGAAAACTCGAGAACATAGGAATTCGACCTAACCCAGATCGCCAATCTCCATAAACGTTATGCCACTCCACATGCCATTCAGTACTGCAGACATGCTTACGTGTACTATACTGCTTTCTCTGCTGCATATACTTCACATATACTGTACACACGTATCGTCGATCGTTGACCTCATAGGCACCCGCCATACTTGTTAAGCTTAATCCACTTGATCCGCTTCGTCATTGGTCAATTCAGTGAACTGACCAATAGCGAAGCGGATCAAGCGGATCAAGTGGATTAAGCGAACCAAGTATGGCGCGTGCCATATTCAAACGCTGCGGACCATGCGCGGCACGGCTGAATTATCGCGAGAGCACGACTTGTACGATGGCGAATTTGGAGCAAGCGTTTTACCTCGCGGCGCGTGCTCTGCACTGATGTCTAGTCCATGCGTTCAACGAATCAACTATACTTAAATGTAAAGGCTACTGCATGACGAAGGCGCAGAAGCAGTAGATGAGCGGGTGCGAACGTAGCACGCGTATCTTCACCTTTGAAAATCCTGCGTCTCCTGCGCTCTCCAGCGAATACAACCGCGTTCGCGTCCAAAAATGTTGCGCCTTCATCATGCAGTAGCCTATAGGCACCCGCCATACTTGATCCGCTTAAAGCCAGCGTCCAGGCAAGTCTGGACCTATGAGGATTTTACGCGGAAAGTACTTTTGGGGCCCTAACTAATCCACTGCCCAACCGGCCGCCCAGGTAGTGCCCCAACGCCTGAGATATTCCCCTCGAAACGGACCCCGCGACCGTGTTTAGCATGGATTCATGGCGCAAAGCGTGGATCCTAGAGTGAAAATGCCATGAATCCATGCGAGTACGTTCGCGGGGGCCAGTTTCGAGGGGAATATCTCAGCCATTAGAGCACTACCTGAGCTGCCGCTTGGGCAGTGGCTTAGTTAGGGCCCCAAAAGTACTTTCCACGTAAAAGCCCCATAGGTCCAAATCTGCCTGGACGCTGCCTTTAATCCGCTTGATCCGCTTCGTCATTGGTCGATTCAGTGAGTTAAGCAATAGCGAAGCGGTTGTCCGCTTATTCACTCCGGTTATCCACTCATTCACTTCATTTTTGGTCAGTTCACTGAATTGACCAATGATGAAGCGGATCAAGCGCATCAAGTGGATTAAGCGGACCAAGTATGGCGGGTGCCATACACGTGGCTGCGCAAAGCGCGCTCCATGACCAGTGCGAATTTACCCGGCGCGCATGGTATGCTACTGGAGCACTAAACACGGTGAACTTTGATTCTTTGCACACAGTTCTGCCGCGTAAGTGATTGGCTTCAGGTCAGGATTCACGCCGCTCGCAGCGGCCTCTCACCGCCCCAAACTTTGTTGCCTCACAAAAACTCTCCGGTGCTCAAGTGGCACGGCGCCACAGTCGAGGGGGGGGGGGTGGCAGATACATGACTCGATGCCATAAGTATCCTTGCGACAGGAGTAACGGAGCCTGTACTACTTGACGACGCGTTGCGGCGTCGCTGCGCGAATAATCGCGACTCCTGACCCGTACCCTAAGTGACTTGTTGCATACAATTTTTGCCCTGTAGCGAGAGATTCTTTGCTTGTTGACATACAGTTGATTGCAGTGCAAGTGCAACAAGTGTATTTTTTGCACACATTTAAGGGTGTAACCATCGCGGCTGTGAAAAAAAGTATTGGTGTTTCTCCAAGATCCATGCCACGATTCGTAGCGCGAAGTACATTGTACAGAAATAGGTTGACCCAGTGGTGGGGATCGAATGTGCGCCCACCCTGGTCATAGCGGCGCCCCATACCACTACGCCACTCATCCTCAAAACCCTGATTATCGACGGAATTTTACAAAGATCTATCTCACAGTGGCGCCATATGCTTCGAGTTCCTACCGTAAACATATTAATGAAAAGAGATCCGTAATTAGATCCATATTGAAAATCTAAGCTGAAGCGGTCTGTACTATTTCACCTGATAAAACTCAAAAAATGAAAAGCACCGAAATCGCTGAAAAGTCACCTAAAGGATTTATCACAATGATGTTTATTTTGCATGGTAGGCCTTTAATGGTTGCGATAGGCACACGGTATGGGGTCAAAATCTCAGAATTTGCTGGAACTTAGCACAGAGGGGTTATTCGGCATGATGATTACGAGAATCATACTTTTTCCACAAGAAAACTTCCCCTGTATTTACGGTATGTGAGCGGTAAGGGGTAAAATCTAGGTTCGAATTTTGGTGTGTAGGAGATATTTGACATACTGGTGACAAATATCGTAATCTTCTCGCGTTTAGGGACCTTTTCGATGGGTTACGGTAGGATTAGGGTAAGGGAGTCAAAATCGTAGATCTGCCTAAAACTTTGTGCAAGGGTGTTATCAGATGTGCAGATCACAAATACCGCGCTCATCTCGCATGATAAAGCTTGTGCATTTTCGGGATCTGAATAATCAATATAATATCCATGTTCAGCATGCTAAATAACCCCTCCAGACCAAATTCCAGCCCAAACTAGATTACCCTAACGTACACGTACCTTAGCCATACAGGTAACGTTTTCGTGCGGAAAGAGTGTGATGTTCGTAATCAGCATACCAAATAACCCCTTTAAGCAAAGTTTTACTGAGGTCTGAGATTTTGACCGCATAGCGTATGACTACCACTTCGTCAAAAACAATCTGAGCACGAAAATTGATGGTCAAACCAACCTTGAAAGCAGTCGTGAGCTCGCGCAAGTTCCCCACTTGCGCTCTCTCTTTGATGAATGCAACCATAAGGTCTTTCCAGACGTTGAAAATGACTGGGATAGTAGAGGAAGAAGGAATCACAGCGCAGTCGAATGTCCAATAAGCAAGTCTTGGGTAGACTATGCGCGAATAGACCTGCTCAGATGTTAGAAAACTCCTGACAATGTGCTTGAATCAACATACTATATAGCCATCAGGCGTATGACGTTCATCTATCAAAAGATGCATGAGCGCGAAGGATCGGTCAACAAATTTCCGCAAATCCTTGAAAATGACCAAGCTCTTTACGATTCCGACCTTTGCATTAGTTTGGATGTCGATTCTACCCAAGTCACGAATCAGCACTGCCGTCTCATGAGACATTCCAGAATAACCAGAGAGTGGTACTGAAACAAGCCTGTAAGGCATGCCCAACATGTGTAGAATCTTACCTTTGTTCAAAAAAGTGAACAGCGCTTCCGTGGACATCTCCAGTAGATGTTTGACTTCCCCTTTGTCAAAAAACGCTGCCGCAAAGGTCTCTTCTATAACATAGCTATTCATTTCTCTACCAACTCAAATTCTTAATTCCTGTTTGTTTTCACGCAAAATACAAGGCAAAAACTTTGAAATCCACAATACTATTAGCAATCCAAGGCTCGTACGTAGGTAGAGGGCATTCGAAAAATCGTGACGATAGCGCGACCGCGCGCAACACGCACGCACTTCCACTTCTTGGTTTCTCTCTACTCAAATAGTTTTCCTGCTTACATATGATAGTATTCAGATATTAGAAGTGACTGAGCTAAGTGTTGAGGTGTTCCGTATTGGAATGAGCGTTTTATGCTCCTGTGCGCGCGAAGACCGCAGTCAACTCGTTGTCACGATTTTAAAAATAAACCATAACCTCAGGAGGATGTGGGTAGGGGACTATATGTCGCCGAAGGTGGGAGGTCCCGCCGGACATTCGTAACGAACACAGTCTGCCCCAATCCCAACCAGGCCAAAGTTGGCACGGCGGGAGTGCTTCCGCGAGGGTATTGCGTCACGTCTACGGTCAGCCAGTCTACTCTCTCCTCAGTTTCTTCGCTCTCTGCGACGCGCGCGTATGCAACGCAAATCCCTAGCGCTGCGGGCGCGCAAATTTAGCCGACGGTACGGCCTGATCCCGATTGGAGCAGACTGTACACATTCCAATACAAGCGCAGGCTGACCATCTGCTGCATTATCCGCGCAGGACCCCCCACTTTCGGCAACGTATAGTCCTCACCTAGGGGAGGTGGTACTAGATCAACAAAGACTAGGAAGCTTATCACCTTAATCGATTTCAGTCGAGTGACGCTCGTGGTCAAGTTAAAAAAGAGAAACAACAGCTGAAAGAACGTCAACTTCGCACTCGACGCATAGCAACGGAAATGAAAAGAGATCATATGGTTTCTTCTATAAGAAAGTGCTAGTCCAAAAAACTGTTGCAATCGCCTGGTGCCGACCGCCGTTTGGAAAGGATGTGGTTATATTGAAAACCTTATGTGGTAATATTCAATCTAGTTGTCAAGCTGAGGCTTCAGAAAACGTTTGATGGGTTGCTAGAGCAAAAACAACAAGGTCTGCAGCCAACTGGTAAGTTCAGTTGAAGTAATTGTCCATATTGTGACCAAAATACTCCAATGCAGTAAGTCCTCCTTGTCTCACGAGTAATTTTTCTCGGTGGGGGGGGGGGGGCTCGGGCATACATCACGCGTTCACTACCTCGCGATTCCCGACATTACAACTGTTAAAGGCAGCGTCCTGGCAGATCTGGACCTATGGCGATTTTACGTGGAAAGTACTTTTGGGGCCCTAACTAAGGCACTGCCCAAGCGGCAGCGCAGGTAGTGCTCTAACGGCAGAGATATTCACCTCGAAACTGGCCCCCGCGCACGTATTCGCATGGATTCATGGCAGTTTCGCGCCAGGATCCACGCTTTGCGCCATGAATCCATGCGAAACACGGTCGCGGGGTCCAGTTTCGAGGGGAATATCGCAGCCGTTAGGGCACTACCTGAGCTCAGCCGTTAGGGCACTACCTGAGCTGTCGGTTGGGCAGTGGCTTAGTTAGGGCCCCAAAATTACTATCCACTTGACATCCCCATGTGTCCAGACTTGCCTGGACGCTCCCTTTGAGCGTCGGGCATACCGGGCGCGAATCCGTGGCGTCGCGAATCTCTGAAAAGACATGTGTTACACGTCGAATGCATGCATCTCTGTCATGCACCTCGTCCGTGCTAGTTTTCCGGCGCAACGCCTCGCTGTTTCTTGCTAGCCCATACCTGGCTCAGCGAAATCGTCGCGATTTTCGTTCATCTCCGCGAATTCGTGCCACTCGTTTGAAGTGAGCATGCGATGGTTCGTTAGGATTGGAATCTGTTGCCAAAGGATGGTATGATCGAACTTCACTTTCTCACTGGTTTTCTTAGGAGATTGAAAACTAGTCTAGTATGTGTTGTCAAAGTGCATTGGTTTTCTGTGAAATGCTTTTGACCTATCCGAACTTTTTCCATCTTGCTTTTTTTGGTTGCTGGCCCAACTAAACGATAATTCGGTTTGATATAATAATTTAACGTGAGGTCACACCGAAACCGTTGACGACATACAACTTCACCCACTTGCAAACAAGGTGATTTCAATGAAAAATGTATGTATACTAATAGACGCCAGTTAGAGTGCGCGTAGTCTGACCATCATTCATATGGACAACTGAAGGTGGTAACCTGAAAGCTTTGTCCTCATTACTTTGTGCCCTAGTATCAAAGCGCGGGGAAAAGATCATCCGATGAGGCTAAGATTCGTAGAATGTGCGCTGGATTGTGAGTGCACAGATCGCTGCAGTGGTAGCCCATATCCGAGTGATAAGCGATCCCGTCGCGCGTTTTCTTCGCTAGTCCTAGTCGATCACGACGATTTCACTGCATGCGGTATCCGGCCCTTTATGAGTTCATTGCATGCCCAACATCTTGCATCTCGGCTGTGATAGTTAATCGCGATTAGTCGCGTTAGAAAACTATCACAGAACTGGAGATGATCGGCAGGCAATGAACTTGTAACAGTTGTCCTGCTGGGAGCATCGAGAGGCGATGAGATCGCGTGAACTGAGTCCGACCCTTAAAGGCAGTGTCCGGGCAAGATGGGGGTTTTGGGATTTCAGTGCCATGCAAGAGTGGCCCCCCTCAGACACAACATCGCGCAACTGCGACGTCGTAACGCTCGGGAGACGGTCAAGAGGCGCGATTTCTCCGGTTGTCACCAAGGTAAAACTTTAGTTTAGTGCTACGCTAATGTTCAAAAAGTGCCTGATGAAGTGCATTAGCTTACTCTCCGTCTCAGGTTACCACTTGCCGAGTTTGGTGGCTTTTGCTGGAAAAAGGAACGAAATATCTACGAATTTGTTCTTAGTTTCATTTTAAAGGGTTTTTGACCTTCAAAAGTGATGTTTTGAATTAATTCCAAGGTATTCAGACTGAATAACCCATGCAACTATCTATAAATCTCCTTATAAATTCAAAATACCTTTAGAATGTTATAAAACACTTATTATGCGCTATTCGGTGTCCATCTGCCAATAAAAATCGCATCTCTTGACATACACCCGTAACGCTCGATCTAAAGCAAGAAAAATGACCGGAAAGTGGGGAAACTTACGCCTTGGGGCGGGTCCCTCCGAGCTATTCGATCTCATGCTATGCGGCAGAGTATGCATGCCGCCACAGTTAAAATGCAGGACCCCGCAGCGACTCTGCGTCTCTGCCTTGGCGGGAACCGTCAAATTTCAAATTGTGCGGCTTTGAAAAACGTATGTTCTCGCCGTTTTCGCACCTTCTAATGTGGATTTTCGGATTCAGCGTTGCGGATAACCCCCGGTAAGTGGATTTTCTAGAAATCGAGTTCTTACCCAAACACTTCCTTTAAAGGCAGTGGCTCGGCAAAACTAAATATCTCAAAATTCTGATATGGAAGGTTGCATCCTAAACATCAGAACAGAGCAGGTCTGCGCACTACATGTTGCCCCTGCCTAGAAAACTGCCCCTAAACTCGTACGCGCAAGCCAATCTTACACGCGCACCGACGAGCTTACGGTCCCGTCAGAGGCGGTGTGCCGCAATGTTATGAACATGAGGATCCCGGAACGACTCTACGTCTCTAACATGGCAAGGAGTGATCTACTCGTCCATATTCAAAATAAGAATCTCTGGAAAATGCTGGTTTCCGGCATTTTCGTGCTCTGCAAGATGTATTTTTGAAATCAGCGCATCGAAATACCCCGGTAAGCAAAAAAAAAAACTTCAGGTCCAGGATTTGCCGAGTCACTGCCTTTAATGCACCTCTATCTGAAAACACCTTATCACTCTAACATAGGGACCCAGTTTTTCTTCCACTTAATCTGTGGGTCCTAGGATATTCCGCAAAATTACTGGCAGCTCACAAACTGTACATGACGCCTCCTAACAACGGAAGGAACCTATCGCAGCGGCGAATTGCAATAAAATGCGTATCGTTATGCACGACTTGATGAGCTGATTATACTTTATCTGCTGCGGGATTCTCCGGAAGAAGTTATAAGTTGAAGTGTGAAGTTATTATCCAATGCATAATATGTATTGAAATCTAGCTCAAGAGTGCATTATAAGACGTCGAGTACGGCCATGGCATATTATTTTGCATTTCGTTTTAAATCGCCACTGTAGTCTGGGATCCCAGTAAGAGCAAAACAAGAATGGAGGAATCGAGTAGGCAGCAAACTACAGATACCACGAGTACTAGAATACGTAATGTCATTCTCTTCACTGTGTATCGTTCATTCGTTGACCGTACGGACTGCCGACCGCGTGGCGACTGCGACGCGTGCCTTCTAAACTTGCGAAAAAGTGACAAGTTGGACCGTGGCTTAAGATGAGAAGAATTCTTTGTTTCTTTTCTACATTATAAAGATGAGAAGAATCCTCTGTTTTCTTTCTATTCATCTTTTCTACGAAAACATCATGCACGCGCAGCGGTCGCCGCGCGGTCAGCAGTCGTTACGGTCAACGAATAAACGATACAAGCCTCAAGAGCCTGATGCAATTATAGATACATACCCTATTTTCAGGTGTATAATAAGCCGCACCCTATTCACTCTAAAGGCGAACACGCCAAAAGACTTCATCATGGAGCGCGTTAAGTGAGAACAGTATGCGATAAGGCGACCGCTTCGCGAGACATATGCGCGGCGGCACGCCTGGGTCTGCTCGCGTTTAGCAAAAAGGGTGCGGCTTATACACCTGAAAATATAGTTTCGTCTCCTTGCAACATTGCCTTTTGGCATTATGCGAAACACACAAAAACGTTTGCCTCGTGATCTCACTCCTCAGAGGATCGCTGGGGGTAGGCGGCCATGCGATATATAGGACAGGCATCGGAAAATCGCTGAGTTCTTCCGGTCCGCTCGCAGATAATTGGAAGAGAGTTGGGTACGTTTGGACTAAACTCAGAGAACAATCGCTGCTTTCTCAAAGGTTAACTGCGGTGCAGTGGCCGCATTCTCACGGACTATCTATGAAAATATGCATTGTTGAAAGCCGCACGGTCCTTTATAAAGGACCGCACAGCTCCTAGATACCTTTCACTGAGAGAGTACCCCAAACTCGGGTGATTGAACCACCGATGACACCTCTACCATATAGAATGTTACATTTGCCCGGCGTACGGCCGAAACTGCGTAAAAAGAGTCAGGGCACTCGCCGAAAGAAATTGTTTGAGGAGCGCTCGGAGGAAATTCTGTATTGCTGTCCGCTGGCAAGACATACGACAGTGAGAAATGCCGCTCGCTTAAGAGTTGGGCACGCCCCAAAATTATGCTGACCGCTTGCAAGAAAGCGCGACTTGCAGTTCTCCCCCTTTCGATTACTTGAGTGGCCAATAGTCAGTCTCCGCAATTTGCGAAGCATGTGCGTTGACGGTGATATAAGCCGTGATTTAGCCGCTATAATCAAAATTCACCTGATGAACTCTATATAGGTTCCATATAGGGCTCCTACCCTGTGACCTTGTTTTGATACGGGTCTCATTCTGCCGATCTACTGCCTTTAAATAGGGAGGGGGGGGGAGCGTTATGGAGCAAAGCTACGCCGCATTCCCCCGCGGTATATCCTGAGAATCATCTGCTTGCGTCCCATTTGATTGTAGCAGGATTAACGCTGCTCCTGCCAGCGGGTTGAGCCATTTCCAATTGCTACGCTCTAAAAGGATGTTCAATGTGTATAAATGCAAGAAAGGAAAGAAAATCGAAAATTAGATGACTTTTAAGGATGAATCAAGAGCTGAATTCAAATAAAAAGGTGTTCAAGGGAAGTGGAACACGAGAACTGGTGGAGGGACAGAAATTTTCGTCAATGACCCTCCGAAAGAGACCGTTCTTTTGCTTTCCCTTGGGTTCTGCTTTAAAGACACTCCTTTCTTATATTCTATTTTCAGTACATCCTCACTAAGAATATGGAGAATGGCTCAATCCGCTGGGTAACGCTAGCTCCTCTTCGGCAGCAATCAGGATCGACGCAATGCAGTGGGCCTTCAGGATATACTGAAGGCAATACGGCGTACCTTTGCTCTACAACGCCACACCGCTTTGGAGGCAGTGTCCGGGCAAAAAGTCTTTTAAGTCAAAAGTTTTGTGATTTTGCGCTTATCTGGGCCTTTTCGCTATGCTAAATCCGAATCTCAACACTAGAGAGCGCGAAAACGGTGAAAAAGGGCTCTAAGCAGGAGGGAAATCGCAGGTGAGCGGGGCTGTCCACATTGTGTCGTCATTCTCCCAACTTCAGGAGCAATCATCTCGTTTCCGCTGTAACATAGCCGCCAGCCAACTGCAAGCGAGTGACATATAATCGGAACCAGTAAGATCGCTTCCAAAGCCTGGGAGAGTGATGTCACAGTGTGAACGGCTCCGCCCACCTGCGATTTCCCTACTGCGTTACAGCCTTTTTTCGCGGTTTTCGCGCTCTCCAGTGTGGATTTTTGAAGCGAATAGGCCCAGGTAAGCACAAAATCTCAAAATTGGCTTTTTGCGCGGACACCGCCTTTAAGAGCGACGCATGGACGATAACACTAAGGGGAATGAGGGCACAGCGCTACCGGAGCTTTCGATAGAGGTCTCAATACCTGGCTGAGAACGAGGCCCGCTATAACCCCGCCCCCAATTGGCCATGTATTGACCGAAGTTAGCTGGGACAGCGCCAACGACGGTGGTGCAGAAGGAACCAAGGGCGTGTCCGGCTGTATCCGCATGAGCCAATTGAGAGCGCGAGCAACGCAGAGAAGATTTGGAAGGGATTCAACAAAACTTGGCAAGACTATCTGTCTGGAAACAAATCCTCATAACTCCGCTTGTTGGAAATTTGAAAAATTTGTAAGACATATTTTGAATCAGCACTCAAGGCGTTATTTTTTCGAAATTCACCTGCAAAAAGATGAACAATGCTCTCGCCATTACAGCTCTATTTTAACATAGAAAAATTTAAAAAACAAAAACTAAGCGTCAGCCTTGATTAAAACCAGACTTCAATGCTCCATGAAAACACCCGCAAGTTTCATAGAAACCGCCAATTTTTTGGAACTCTGTTTGAGTTTCATGATGATAATCAGTGGTGAATTAAATTTCAATCGTGTTCTTACCAAAATCTAAATCTGTTTGATTTGTTGAGTATATTCTCAGAGAAATCATCGAAATTTGAAGAGCTTAGAACGATGGCGCAATTTTTGGAAGACAAGTTCTGAATAACAAAGCGTTTCAATTATGGTGTCTTTGTTAAGTAAAAAGTGTTTTATATGAAACTTCAAATGCGACATTTCCTAATGTGAAGCAAACTATCACCGTGTTTTGAGAGAAAAATCTTTTGAATTAAGAGTCCTTCCTAAGGTACTGAGAAATGGAAGTTTATAACGAAGGAAGTGAGTATTATCTTAAAGAGTGTATTATTTTTCCCATGTCAAAACAACTGTGGTTTTTTGTTACTCATAAGCCTACTGAATGCGCTCCGCGTGCTAATTCCCAAGCTTTTCTTTCCGTCTTTTAAAGGCACCGTCCACCCAAATTCTCGACTTCCATGTTTTTGTCGATTCCAGGCCTTCTGAAGGTCCTGATTTCGAATATGGAGTCGAAAATCCGCGTAACACCCAAAAATCCCTGTTTCAAGAACCCTCTGCACCAAGCGCAGGCGAGATAAAGCATGCAAGTAGGCGGGGCGACCATGGTCGCCCCGCCTACTTTGCTACTTCCGGAGCGTATTTCTCGCTCCAGAAGCAGTCTCTTGCGATGCAGCTTGGAGGCTTGCCTAGTGGGGGGACCCACACCAGTATGCCATCACAATCTCGTCAACCTCCGTTTTGGGTGGACGGTGCCTTTAAATCCAAGATTTGCTTCAAGTTATGAAGATCTTCCAGACAGGTATTCTTCCGAGATTTGTTGGTCCCTGCCAAATGTTCTCCAAAGTGCACGCGTTTTCAATTGGGTCCTGCAGATACAGGCGGCAAGGTCTTTGTTTCCTCCTGCACCACCTCCGCGATGGCACTCGGAACAGAGTATCAAGAAGTCGCAGTGGCTTTCCTGTATGGGACAGATATCATTTAGAGCGGCTCATCGCCATTTCTAACTGCCTTTGCCCTGCAGAACCAGTCTGAGTGAGAAGTTATAGGCATTTTGAACACCAAAATTCGCATTGTCTAGAGCACCCCATGATTATAGGAATCGTTCAGACTTTTTGCGCTCTACAGATCAACACTGAAGAAGGACTAGAATTACACTAAGCGTTGATAAACTGTTTTATCAGGTGAGTCCAAAATACATTGGCTTTGATAATTTCGGCTACTTCCAGCATTGTAAATCTCTATAAAATCCGATATCTCCCGACCCAGATTCGTTTTCCAGCTAGGGAAGGTTGTTTTGAAATCGGCGTTTCAAGCTGAGTTCGGCGAGACCTATCCACATATCAGAGGGCCACAAGGCCATTGCGACTTCTGGGACTTCCCTTGTTCGAGTGCTGCGGAAAAGGAAGTGAGGAGCTATATGAGTGTAACAGTACACAACCTTTGATGAGCACATTCTGCGGGGAAAGCTATACGAAAAAAAAAAAACTAATCCAAGAGAAGGTATACTACGAATCGAGTAATTTTGAACCACCTGCCGACTCCACATTATCGTTCGTTACTTCTTGTCGCTTTCTTTTCTGTTTCTGCTTTGTAGTGCTTGTCATCGCACGTGCATCGTAGGTGAGGCAACGGTAAAGTGAACGAAATAGAAGGAGACATTTCTGCAAATTCTCATATATTCATCAGCAAAGTGCAAAAGACGATACCTGATAGAGATGGGGATTGAATATTGAATAAGCATTTGATCCTGTGATGCTGGCAAGACGAAGATATGCGCATGATGCCAAAACTCCTTTTTCGAATGCGTCAAATGTGCTCAAATAGTTACATCAGATCTCGAAGAAGACATTTTCCCATATTCACCTATCTTTTTCAAGCGCCCACTCCACTGCATACCAAAGCAAAACGCAAAGCTGTTTTCCCGATAATTCTATATTCGTCATTTCAGTCCAAATTTCAGAGTCATCACAATCCTCCAAAAACCTCTCAAGGCTATTGCTCACTCAAAGAAAAGATTGATAAGTACGAAACGTGAAAGCAAGACTCTACATTGTCGAAGTCGCATTGTGGCACGATCGTCCTCGTAGAACGACGGCTTGAAGATTGCAGAGATAGTAGCAAACTCATGATAATTACCATCGATACTGAAAACAACCTCAGCTTTTGAAAAAGAACGTGAAGACTTGAAGTTTGTACCACCTTGATTGCACCCATTCATTGGAAATGTCTTCCATGGAGGAAAATTCGGACGATAGAAGCTTCTTTAGCTCTGCGATACATGACATAGTACAGTGAACGACGAAAGTACCAAGTCTAAATATTCAACATAAAAAGTGGCGATGGTTTCGTGAGGTAACACTCGTTACAAAGACGCAGTAATGAATAGTTAGAAATTTGAGAAAGAATAGCTTCTCAGAAGTATATTACACTGAAAGATTCTTACACTGAAAGATCCAAAACTTCAAAGTTTCAATGCTGCCTGTTTACTGGAAATGTAAATATTATTTGCGGAATGACGATGACAAAATGAGAATACGCGAGGCACAGAATAAACGAAAGAAACTTCAGTCATTCTAAACAAGAAAGTGAGGAAGTCGAATTAAGAGACGACAGAATAAGTACTAAGTGATCAATGCAGAATTCAAGCATCACTTCAACTCCCAAAATCCGATAGCGTTTGCAAGAGTCCGTTTGAAACTGCAAATTTAGTCAGTAGAGATTCTTTTTGATGCTAAGCTCAGTCGAGAAATTTGTCAAAAAAGCAAGCTTATCTTGAACGGTCCTTTCTCATAAGCGAAAAAAGTTCGGTATTCTGCTCTACTCCGACAGAAACGACGAGGATAAATGTCACTTGCCTAACGGGCACACACATACAGAAAAGCCAGCATCACACAATCCGGACCAACTTTTGAAGAACAAAGTCCATGAAAATATTCACCTTTCAAGGGTTGACAACGATATTCAAATGGCGCATGTTCGCGCCGGTCGCGTCGACATATCTTTCAAAAGCGCGCCTTTTCTGCGCCTCACAGTGGCATGCGGCGAGAAACCATTATCCGTCGGAATCCTGCTCAGACACTCGCACCGGCCGGCGACCGTCCGACGACGGCCTTCCGGCTGGCGACCGTTCCATAAATCTGGGCGGAGCTAAATGCCGGCCGGTGACCGTCCCAAAAGATCATGCCGGCCGGCGACCGTCCCAAAATTCTATCTCCCAGTGTCTTAGCGTAAAGGATACTTGCGTGAGATACGACGCATGGTTAGGCTACCCTCAATGCCTTGTATGTTCTTCAATTTCCGAAGCAGGAACAAGGCAACATGTTGTGTTATAGACAACCCTCGATAGTATATATCTCGGTGTTGTCGAACTTTAAAATCGGACGTGGTCTCCGAAGCTGCTACATCAGCGGCCTTGATATTTGTTCTTTGCAGTGTATTTTCCTATATGCCAGTGAATAAAAGACAGTTCTACCATGTAAAACAGTTCTACCGTTCCTCAGTATACACCGGCTGGCGGCCGTACCTTTCCGGCCGGCGCCCGTCCGAATACCGGCCGGCGGGCGTAGACTACGCAACTGTATGCAATGACATGTGGTCGCGCCAGCCGGTCTTTGTGCGGCCGCCGGCCGGTGCGAGTGTCTGAGAGCGCTGACCTTAGCTACAGTATACTAACGCGACCACAAAAGACAACCCAGCTGCCTCTTGTCTTTCCTTTGGCTATGAATCTTACTTATTACATATGAATCTTACTTACCACATCATCAGGTCATCTTGAAACTATATTTTGTCTTGTTTACTCTCTGGTCTTGCCACGTTTTGAAAATTCTCCTCATTCTGGATACTCTCCCAATATACCATAAGGTGGGAATACTAAGGAACTGATGTTTCTCTAAGATATCTCATGGAATTTATCATTATCGAGATACCCCAATAACTTTTCGCCAGAATATAAAAGTTTTATTTGATGAAGTTAGTAGAACCTCTGCTTCCCAAAACATGTACATTCAGGGAGATGAAGTCATCCTTACCAATGACAGTCTTATTTTGAAATCCTTAACAACAAAAAGAATTCGTAAATGATACTTCTACGTCATCTATCAACATCAGTTGTTAGCAAACTTAGGTCCTCATTCATTACTTGAATACGGATAGCGAAATGATTAGTTATACAGAAGACCCAGAGGATAAACAACAAATCATATCAAATGCAAGACCACTTTATGATCTGATAAGTAAGGGTTGTTTCATACTGCAGCACTGACTGCAGCAGTCTGCACTGACCGCAGCGGACTGCAGTCTGAAACAACCCTAAGATCAATGGAAAAGTAAGAGGCAGCCGGGTTGCCTTTTATGGTCGCGTTTGCTATATAATGTAGCTAAAGTCAGCGCCGAATTCCGACGGATAATGGTTTCTCATGCGGCGCGCTCATTTGTGCTTCACAAAAACTCCCCGCTGCTAAAGTGGAACGGCACTACGGTAGGAGGTGGGGGATGGTGGCAGAACATGACTCGTGCCATAACTAACTACCTATCGTTCCCCCCACAGCTCGTGCTACCCTTGGAGTGACTATAGATTCGCCCGTAGGAAAGATTACTTGCGATTGGAGCAGGAATCCTTTTAGAGGACCTTATCTTTCCAACCCTGATTTTGAGGATGCGCTTGCCAAATAAGTCCATTTTGCGTCTTGCAAGTCTACTACTGCAACTCTAATCTCCATATCAAGGACATTATGCTTGTTAATCATATGATTTCAGTGACAAATACGCGAACTCTCATCATTTTTTATCTAGTTATATATCTGCAGGATTTGTGCTTTTTGCATTTTATGGATGATTCGGTGCCATCACTACCCAAATATGAGCTATAAGGCTGTGTCTTAACCCTCTAAACTGGTTATCAAATAGTAAAGTTTTCCCCCAACTAACACGGTGTGTTGTCTACTCTCTAGATAGTCTGCATTACAATTACTGGGTTTCGCTGGTCGCATGTATTCTTTCATGAACTGGTGCGGCTAAGATCAAGTCGATGCATGGTGTAAAAGTATCTTTTAGTACACCTGTGGAGTTCATGACAATGACTTGGAAGTGAACTTGTCATGAGTGTGGCGTAACATCTCCTTACATGAGCATATGACAAGTTGGGCAAGGCATAAAAAGATCTATCATTCACATCAAAGTAACTCGTCTACACTTTTATCTGTAGCGATCAGTTTGAATGTGTCACTCTTGATACGTTCCGTAAAATATTAGATCTATCATTCACATCAAAGTAACTCGTCTACACTTTTATCTGTAGCGATCAGTTTGAATGTGTCACTCTTGATACGTTCCGTAAAATATTCAAGGAAAACATCTACGTCATAAGCTAAACATGTGGACATTTATATGTTGAGAGAGTTTAAGATGTTAATTCTAACAATGGTCCCTATTGAATGTTAGTCACAGGGTGATTTTATGATGTGTTAAGCAAGATTAGTGGCCGAAGGAAAGATTTGAGGCATTCTGATCACCTTTTTTGGTCGCATTTGCTATATACTGCAGCTAAGGTCAGTGCCGGATTCCGACGGATAATTCCAGTTTACACCACTCAGAATATCTTGATGTCGGATGTTTTTAACTTTGAACTCCATAGTTGTAATCTGCACATCATGGCATTCGTAACTGCATTTTATAAGAAATGGCTTTACCACATCTTTATGCATAGGTAATTATTCGTTTCACTTTTGTTATTTATGGGATAGGGGAGTCATCGAGATACGTCCGGCTTATTTAGGAGTATTGTTTAAGTTCTGTTGAACGCGCTCAATTAGAGAGACCCCGCTAGCATCCGCAGCGAGCGCTATCCCTGCATGCAATAAATCGTCTATTCTATTTCAATATAATGATCCCAAGAACTGAAAGTCTCAGCTTTGCTGGGGCGTTGTTTAGCATGTTGATAACGGATAAGATATCTATTTGCTGCGGTAGTCCCACATAGTGTAGTTACGGAGGGAGTATCGTGCATCCCCTAGAGTTGTTCTCATAAGAACCACCAATGCCTGCCTTTCGATCGTTTTAAAACATCAACTCCAGCAAATTTAAGGCGCTTGCTCGAAGTTGACATGTTGAAAAATGATCGAAAGACAGCCATATTGATGGTTCACGGGAACGATTCTGGGGTTGCACCATAGGTGTGATTCAAAATCTCAGATATTGCTGTACCTTCTTATATGGGGGTTTCTGATGCTGATTACAATATCATGCCCTTTTGGCATTTGATTCCTCTTGGTGGAGTTCCGTTAGTTATGGAGAGATGCACTTTTATGGAGGTACGGCAGACAGCTATAAATTCATAGGCCATTTTGCCTTCGGAAATCTAACAAAGGAAGGATACTTTGTCAAAGTGGCGTTTCAGTATGAATTGTATAATGTCTTATAGAGCACGGAACGCTGATTCCGAATCTGCTTTCCGTATTTGCAAAGCGCTTCTGGGAAGGAAGTTATGGGAAATTTTAAAGCCAAAATTCGAATGCGTTACTATAAAAAAATCATTCAGAACTGCAGCCTGTGAGCGCGAATGGGACCACGATCATTACTACCAGCGTTCTGTGCAATAATTACCTTCAATCTTATGAACTTATGTTAGTCAATACTCCTTTCAAGTCCCGAAAAGATTTCAACACATGTTTTTACTTTAGCCAAATCATTGAATTTTTACAAAGAAAAAATCCCAGAACTCCCCTCTCAAAAGCGCTTTGCAGATAAGGAAAGCAGATTCGGAATTAGCGTTTCATGCTCTATAAGATGTTGTACATTTCATCTCGAAGCCCCACTTCGACCAAGTATCCTTCCCTTGTAAGATAGGGACGTATGCGGACTAAGGGCCGCATGCACTAACATGGCCGCGGGGAGGGGAAGGGGATCGCAGCTGAAAAGAAAGCTTCATACTTCGAAACTCTAGATACCTGGATTTCACGTTGTGAACCTATCTGCTAGCGAGAGAGTACGAAAAGCAATGCTTTGAAGTGGAGGTTTAACAAGTTTACCTGTATCATCAGGCAAAGTCTGCAATACACCTCCACACGAATCTGGAAACCGACCATACCTCAGATCTCAATTTTTTCGCTTTTTTATTGCTATGTTTTGTTATTTTGATTGAACAAGGGTTTCCCTACTGACTTTTACGTCAAAAGGGACTACGTAAATTTCGCGAATTCATGGAGGACTTCGTTTCCAGAAATGCTCCAAACCAACGCGTGCCGGGCCCTGTCTGCGACTCTGTCGAAACACCATGTTGAAGGCAGCGTCCAAGCAAATCTGAACCTATGCGGGTTTTACGTGTAAAATAATTTTGGGGCCCTAACTAAGCCACTGCCCCACTGACAGGTAATGCTCTAACGGCTGAGATATCCTCCTCGAAACTGGGCCCCGAGATCGTATTCGCATGGATTCTTGGCGAGGACCCACGTGAAACTGGTATAAGTCGCGCTATGAATCCATGCGAATACGATCTCGGGGCCCAGTTTCGAGGGAAATACTTCAGCCGTTAGAGCACTACCAGAGTTGCCTGGACGCTGCCTTCAAAAGTCACTATTCCTATTGCTGTATAAACCTTTTCCTTTGCCCACTTCTACTTGCTAATTCCCTATCGAAGTTTTGTTTTCGTAATCAGCATGCCTCCCCACCCACCCCCTGTGACTCCCGGACTCGGAGATCATTGCGGAAAATTCAAGATCGATAAAAGATACACATAATTCTGAAAGCCAATATTGTATTCGTAATCAGCATGCTCACTTTCCCTATGTCAACTCCCAAGCTCGTAGGCCATACTATGTAATCGATAAAAATCGATAAAATCGATATCGATCGATGGCGAAAAGTAGCCTGCGACACTCGGCCCGCCCCGAAGTGTATGTGCGCAAAGTTTGGTCTCAATCGGTTCAGAGATAAAAATTTCTATTCGGAACCAATACTTGGGTAATTCGAAAATTCTTCATCGAATGAATGAATATCGAATAAATTCGGAAAGGAAAAATTTCGAATAAATGAATATCGAATAAATTCGAAAATAAAACATCGAATAAACGAATATCGAATAAATTCGAGGTTCAAAAATTCTCGAATGAATGAATTCCGAATAAATTCGGAAAATCAAAAATATCGAATGAATGAATATCGAATATATTCGAACATTAGAAGTCGAATTTCGAATAAATATTTGAATGATTTGTCGAATAACTAGAGCAACCATATCTCAAAATTGCCGACCTATCCGGCCAAAGCCGATCCATTCATAATTAGCACCCCCGTACCCCCTATACCAATTCCTAGCTCAAAATTTTCCAAAAATCGCTGAAATCGACAAAATAGATTTCGGTTTTAATCAGCATCCTCATTTACCCCCCCCCCCCCCCTGTACAAACTCCCAACCTCTAGCTCAAGATTTTCCAAACATCGACAAAATCAATAAAGTAAATTCTAATTCATAATCAGCACCCTAACTTACCCCCTTGTACCAACTCCCAGCCCCATAGCTCAAACTTCTCCAAAAATAAAATCGATAAGTAAGTTTTTATCCATAATCAGCACCCTCATTTACCCCTCTGTACCAACTCCCAACCTCGTAGCTCAAACTTCTCCAAAATCGATAAAGTGTTCACCTAACGAGCGGTTCCGATTTATAGCGCTAGGTGTGCGAACTTTTGTAGCAGTAACGGTGGCCACATATGTACTTAAACGCCACAAATGCTACGATACATTGCCTGTTCATCTGAGACTTTCGTCTTTTGTGGTATAAGCTAGTCGTGGAGGAAGGCACGTGGTTCATTCCGCGAAGCGAGCACGAATGCCCTTATAGCCCCGGGCATGCTGCAGGCATTTCAGTGGCAACGTGGTTTGGCAATCGTCAAATTGTCCAAAACTTATTTACAAGTACAGAATGCAGGGCATTTATCTTTTTAGTAAGTTGTACGCGCTAAACATTTGCGGTAAGCTAGCGTTACATTGAAGACATCTCGTAACTGGCAAATCGCGTACGGCGATCTAAACCGCCTAATCCTTCACTATAACTGCAATGTCCTTTACTCAAAATACACCAATTCGCAAAAAAGCAAAGAAAGAAGAACAGGCATTTCAAAACACTTTCAATATATGAACTTGGAACATGAGCTTGAATTTGACAGCTTCTTTGCTGATTTGGTGCCAATAGCAGTGAACAATCACATTGATTGAAAAAGCATTGATTAAAAACCGCATATGATTTTTTTACTGTCAAGCAATCGGAAGAATGCGACCCTCCATACAGTTCAAAGGTCATAACAGTTGCAAAAGATGCATTACCGAATTTTGCGAAAAAATAACGCGGACGAAGTGAGCTTGATACTGAGCAGTTGGCTCTGTAACAAAGTCGAATAATCTGAATACGGAGTTCATTCGAATACGAATTCGAATAAACATTCGAATAAAGCATTCGAATAAAATCTATTCGAAACCCGGTTTTTTGATTATTCGAGTTTTCGAATTTTATTCGAAACTCTGTTTTTTGATTATTCGAGTTTCGAATTTTATTCGAAACCCCGTTTTCTCAATTATTCGAGTTTCGAATATTATTCGAAAATGGAAGGACTCCGAATATCAATTTCGAATACGAATATATTCGAATGTTTTATTCGAATGATCGAATTTCTATTCGATTCGGACCCAAGTATATTACGTACAGACATACACACATACGGACAGAGACAGACAAACAGACATTCAGCTTTATGTAGGCTGTCCCAAAAAAATGTGCCTACTGTTTGATTGTAAATAACTCTCTTGTAACGAAGTGTTTCGAAGCACCAGGTACCGTTGTGTACAGCGAGGTTAAACTTAGATTTGCAGTATCGAGAGAACCACCAATCGCTCTTTATTACTGTAGGATTACTGTAGGAATTTTGACAAGGATTTTAGGCCGTTGGAAGCCATATTCTGCCTCGGAACAAAACCAAATAAGCCAAAAACTCTTATACTATGATAATGGGAGCCACTGATTTCAAATTTGAAATTTCCATTTTACTGTGATACTTTTTTCGTAAGTTATCCCACTGTGATACTTCTTTCGTAAGTTATCCCCGGTAAATCGTAATAACTCAATTCCCAGCATTTGTCAGAAATGTAATTACACCGTCAAAAAAAGAAACACTCATAAAAAGTTGTTAGGTGGAATCAGCATGCGCGAAAACCCTAGTACACAATTTTTCAGATTTTTTGAAAAAAAATTTTGTTAGGTGGTATATTTCACAATGATTCCATATGCTGGAAGTTCTTACCGTAATCCTACAGTAATGAAGAGCAATCGATGATTCGCTCCACACTGTAAATCTAAGTTTAAGCTCGCCCTACAAAACGCTACCTAAAGCTTCTCGAAACACTTCACTACAAATAGTTATTTACAAAACGGAAAGCATTTTTGGGACACCCTGTATATAAGAAGATAAGGATGTGGCTTCGAAGAAAGCAGAAATTATTGCTACCATATAAGTGAACTTTTAGGAGGCTCTGGGTTGTTCCAGACTCGCACTGACCGCAGCAGACTGCAACAGACTGCAGCTGACCGCACTGACTGAAACGGCCGCTGCGGCTGAAGCCTAAAGGTGGAGTGGATAAATAATTGTGGCTCTAACAAACAACGACAATATATACCTAAAAACAAAAGACAACACGGGATAGAATGTTACACAACAGGTATATGCAATAATAGGAGGAATTAGAGCAAATACGAACATACCAAAGAAGAACAATCGCCAAAATTTGATTGAGAAGAATTGTGATGGAAGTTATGATCTTCTTAGACGTAAATCACGCTGTTTTGATAATCGCGGTTGTTTTCCTTTTTTTGAAAGGAGTCAGAGACCGGTGCGATGTCAGCTGCAGTCAGCTGCAGTCTACTGCGGTCAGTGCGGCAGTCGGAAACAACCCTTTCGAGCATGTGACAGTTATCAGACTTCCCAAAGGCGTGAAGGGGACTTCCCAATGATTTTCGGAGAACTCTGTCAGCTCCTCTAGGAGCTCCGGGCCTTTGTCCGAGCAGGGCCTGTGCATGAGGGAAACGGAAAATATGACAGATAATTTCGACATCAGTGGGTGCTCTCGGTGGGTTACGAGACTGGAGCTGATGTCAACAAACATTGCAGAACTCAAACACAAGTGTACAATTTATACTCAATTTATGAATGAAAATATATACAAACAAGGTATGTGCAGGCGTGATGATTAAAATACGAGGTCACTATCAGTGTCTTCACATACTACTCAATTTGGCATCAGCTGTTCCAAATAAAGACTTGTCCATTTCTTCCTTGGCTTTTAGAGCAGCATTTTGCTGGCATCTGGAGTAGGCAAGATTCATGGTCTCACCCACATAACGTGCCAGAATCTTCATGGCTTCGATAAATATTGCTTTTTCACTGGAATCCTCGAATTTGACCTTCTGGAGGAGCTGTAATAGATAATACATGTAGACAGTTTGAGACTACAAGTTTACTGCAAACTCTATGCATTTTATGACAGTACGAACAATAAAACAATGCTCACGTCTTCAAAATGCTGCCTCCATATATCAAGGAAATGGGGCTTAAGACCGTACTGAGCAAACCGATAGTGTATTATGCCCAACTGATACACTGCCTCGGATACTGCGATGCTGTCGAGGTGAAGTTCACAGATTAGGCGATCGAAGAAGGAGCACTGGGCTTGACTGTAACGTTGTTGGTAATTTAGAGTTCATCAGTTAGAGTTGAGCTAATCTATACAGAAGCACTAACCTAATTGTAGTCAATTTACGATCTCCGTAAACACGAATACATGATTTAAAACGCGTAAAACTAACATTAAAGATCCCTTGCAGTTTATTAGAAAAGCCGGAAGTGAAAGGCAGCGTCCACCCAAAAATTTAGCTCTCATTTTTCCACAATGCGTTTAACGATCGTTGGCCTCGAGGCCAGCGCCGCATAGTGCAGTTACACATCTACGCACGAACATTACCTAGGCGCAGCATGCAGGGACCATGCCGCGCATATCATCGCGGGCCTTACTTTTTCATTGTATCTCGTAACTTTTCCGTTTTTGTAGCAGCGGATTGCCATTTTTCTGCTCATATGCGATTTGTCTTGATACCGGGTATGAATTTTTTGCAGCAAAGGAAAAGATATCAAATTTTTAAGCGTTTTTCTTCATGACATCTTTCATTTCATCCAAGCCTTCTTCGGATGGCTGATTCCGGATGTCATGATTCATTATATTGACTCTGTTCCAGTGGACATATTCGTACATCGTCTTGGAGATGTTCACTCAAACTGTTCTAACCTATACGATATACGATTACACCTCACAGATCCATTTTTGGCTGTAAAGAGGAAGAGTACCAGCCGTTCTTAGAATTCTCAAATGAAATGATTTACATTACATCTTATTTTACACCTCAACCCTTCATTTTGTCTACTAATTCGCGCAGTGATACTTTGAGAGATCTCAGGAAGAGCATCGAAGTAGAGTTTTAGACAGCAAAAGTACAGAAATTCAGAAGCAGGGCAGCGAAAAAGCTCAGAAAGAAGAAGGAAAAGAGCTAAAACAAGGACCACGCTGCTTTGCGCGGCATGGTTCCTGCACGCTATAGTTAGGACCAAATATTTTTCAAATATTCGTGTCCGAATGATTTATTCGGACTAAAAAGTTGAACGTCCAGGAAAGGGCATTTATTTGATTATTCGAATAGTGGAATAAATGAAAAAGACTTTTATTCTATTATTGTTTATTCGACGGACCGAAAAAACAAGTTTTTCGAAATTTTATTTTTTATTATTAAATTTTATTCGAATGAAACTTTCAAATAAGCTGTTTTTTCTATTCGTTCAATAAACAAAAATCCGAATAAAAGTCTTTTTCATTTATTCGATTATTCGAGTAATCGATTAAAGGCAGTGTCCCACCAGATTGAGGGTATCTGGCTCTCGTAATGATGTGATAGTAGACCCCCTACCTAAGCGATGACTGAAGTTCGGAGCGAAAAAGGGGGTCTACCAAGCCTGAAATTTGCTCCGAAAGTGGGCCGAATCATACAGTAGGGCCGGACGCCGCCCACACGGCAATATCGATTTGCAGGGCCAGAGTGCGTATAGCGCACACATCATGAGCGCAAGGACCCGCAACAACTCTGCGTCTCTACCTTGCATGCACCTCGCACTCGCCCGAGCCTACCGTAAGATTCGGCCCACTTTTGGAGCAAATTTCAGGCTTGGTAGACCCCCTTTTCGCTCCGAACTTCAGTCATCGCTTAGGTAGGGGGTCTACTATTACATCATTACGAGAGCCAGGTACCCCCAGTCTGGTGGGACGCTGCCTTTAAATGCACTTCCTTGAATATTCTTTTCTAGTTCGAATAAATCATTCTAATACGAATATTCGAAAAATATTCGGATCTAACTATACTGCACGCTGCAGCCCACGTAGCGCTCGCGCACAGGTGTGTGTCTGCACTACGCGGCGCTGGCCCCGTTAAACGCATTGTATCTTTACTTATCCTTTTCATTGCCCTCATTTCGAATATGAAGTGTAATTTAATGAAAACCATGAAAACCCCACTTCTTGGAACCGTATCTTGGCAGGCATGAAAAATTCAGGGCGCTAGTCTTCTGCGGCGGAAAATCTCGTTGAAAGGTATATCCAACGACGACTGTTACGACTTATGCGATTCCACCACCGCGGACGTGCGCTTTTTAAGCCTTTCCGACTTTACAGTACGCTGCAGCGCGCGGCTAATCGCAGCTTGCAATATCCCTATCCTAGAACCTCCTTTCTATTTGAACATTTCTCGTCCCTTCTCCTTCTCAGATTTCGGCACCTACCGTCCTCCGTTTCCTTCAGGCCTACTCGATTGTTGAATACCCCGCAAGTTCTGTTTTGATACCGGGAACAATGTAGGTTTGACACATCTCTTGAATTCCTTTCCCTTCTTACCTCCCAAGCAGTCATTCAATTTATGAAGAGTGCAGTTTGCCACGATTGAAGGTAGATGGTGATATCTCGTACGCAACTTTTCGCACAGTGTTTAAGGGATATCCATGTAGCAACACCATCGCCCGGGAATAGTAAGAAGAGGTGAGTTTTTTCTCGATAATCACGGTAATGATAACCATAGCGCTAGGGAGTGCTAGTTCAGTAATTTAAACTGATCTGCCATCTCTTTAACTTCAGACTAGTCAAGTGTCTATCGGCACTCCTACATCAGGGGCATCAGATATAGGTGTGTTGAGATGAACAATAGACTGGTCTGATCTGTGGTCTGATCTATCAAGGAAAGGATGCTTGGTGACCGCGGCCATTTGGTATGCGATGTATACCATACGGTGCACCTCAAAACGCTGATTCTAAATCTGTGCTCGAAATTTACGAGACGATCATATGAAGGTAGTTATGAACTTTTATTCGCAAAAAATTTGCGTACTCTTAAACAGTTAATCACCAATTTCGTCTTTTTTACCGTTTGAAGCTATTGAGGAGAATCTTGAAAGGTGTACGTTGGATTTATAACTATCTAAATAATATTCAGCATTTGAAGATGGAAGAAAATTCTTTATTATCGATTTTTCTCCGCAGTAAGGCAATTCATTCCTGAAAAAATAATTATAACTCCACCCAGGTTCTTGTTTCGCAGATATGGAAAACCGTATTCAAGCTAGCATCAAAAGGCGATCTATAAACCATTATGAATGGCCGGGAATTACCAAATATCCTTCCCTGTTAAGAGGAAGATATAATATCGTTTACTCGCTTGCCATTCTGCCGACATACACGCCGACGGCTATGGGTCAGGAGCTTAGATACGATAGGTGGAGAAATTTCTCTGACCCGCCTCACGGAAGGCACCTGGCTTTTTGTTTGGAAAGGAAACGCCAGCTGCTCTTCTTCTCAGACATCAAGACTGCAAGAGATTATCGAATCAACAGCGTTTTGTTCAAAAAACGCATGTTTGAGACCTTCTGCGCACTCAATGGCGTTGCTAACGAAACATAATCAAAATAAAAGTATATCTATGCGCTGATGATTTCAGCTTCTTCTGCAACATTTTAGATTTTGGCAGCTCAACTCAAATGATCAAAGCTTGTATCGTGAAATCGTTGACCGCACGAACATAGGTGCGATAGGGGGAGCAGGGTCCCATCCTAGTGAAGGGAGTTTTGGCTACTTCTAGAAAAGTGAAGGGGTAACTGGGCCTTAGATGAATGCTGACGCAAGCTTACATGTCTAACGCGAGCGGGAGTGAAAAGAAGGAAATTAAGTGGTGCAGAGGTGTAATACAAAGACTTCCTCAATGCTTAGGCTTTGGAAGCTTATCCAGCAGACTTTTTTGACTCAGGAAAGCTTTATGCTTCATCAGTCGACATACCATTCGAAAGCTTCGAACATACAGAATCGACATAGGTCTCTTTTTTTTCAGTTCTCCTGTGAATTCAGATATAAAAAATCATATCTAGCTCCAGCATCAGCTGATTTTATGCAATCACTTTGAGCTCCATTTCCGAAAAAAAGAGGAAGGCTAGAAAAAAGAGACGGTCTACGTTTACCGGCGAAGTCTTGCTCTGTAACAGGGTGAGACAACTGGGCATTTTCAACCACTGGCATAAAAATTCCTTCACAAATACACACATGTTTTTAGCTAAAATGCCATTCTCTGAGTAGGGGGGTGATAGAGAAAAAAAGACGGTCTACGTCAAATCCCTTTGAGCTTTCTAAATGTATATAGGTTGTTGGATGAAAAAACTCGTGGCTTTTTGAAAATGAGGTGGAGATATTCAAGCCCGTATGCACGTACATCCCCGCGGGGAGGGGAGGGGATCTGAGAGGGGAAACGCCATAGCTCGCTGCTCTAGATATCTTTTTTACTTCTTCGCTATCGTGCTTATAAAGGTTCTCATACCCTTATACCTGCGCACTATGGATGTCAGGTTACTGCTATACAAGATTAAATATTCTCTATTTCTTCCGATCCCCTGGTGATCATCTCACATTTTCAAAGTCATTTATCTTCCTGAAAAATCAATGAAAACGCTGCAAAATTGTACTGAAGATATACTACGATACTGCTGAGCATGTTTTCGACAGAAGAAATGGAATATGAAGATTTTGATTTTTTCGATAATCCCTGGCTCGCGAGCAGCGGTTCATCGAAGATTTTGATATCTTGAGATTTCTACCATAGACTCATTTCTACCATAGACATGTTTAGCAGTGCTGTAGTATATCCACAGTACAATTTTAGAGCATTTTCATCGAGTTTTCAGAAAGATAAATAACTTTGAAAATGTGAGGTGATCCACTGGGGATCCCCAGGGGATCAGACGAAACAGTGAATATCTAATCTTGTATGGCAGTAACCTGGCATCCGTTATGCGCAAGTATCAGTGTATGAGAACCTTCAAAACCAAGACAGAGGAGGAATAAGAAAGATACATAGGCTAACGAGATATGACGCTTCCCTTCTCAGATCCCCTCCCCTCCCCGCGGGGATGTAAGTGCATACGGGCCTTAGTATTAACTTGCTCCACCCCGCTCTTGCTTTCTATGCTCGCCAAAGCGAGACTATTTTAGACTGGGAAAGCTTTGTGCACCAACACACATAACATACATAATTGTATACCATTCGATAGGTAAGAACACGAGGAATCGAAGTAGATCGTCTACGTTTTCATAGCATTTCTG